TTACAGTTTTGTCAATTATACCTCATTAAAGCAAAAGAGAATAAAATCAAAGACCCTATACCAAAAAACATTTTAAGGAGATGTAATTGTGTATATAAATAAATCAGTGAAGTTGATGAGACTCAAGAGGAAACCCACAGAAAAGCTTTATGTAATTTGGATGCTAGTGATAAAGAAAGAACTATCTCATTTTTTTTTTAATTTTTTTTTCAACGTTTATTTATTTTTGGGACAGAGAGAGACAGAGCATGAACGGGGGAGGGGCAGAGAGAGACGGAGACACAGAATCGGAAACAGGCTCCAAGCCATCAGCCCAGAGCCTGACGTGGGGCTCGAACTCACGGACCGCGAGATCGTGACCTGGCTGAAGTCGGACGCTTAACCGACTGCGCCACCCAGGCGCCCCAGAACTATCTCATTTTTGATGAAAATCCAATGCAGGTATCTTTAATCAGCACTGGCATAGCTCTTATTAGAGGTTACTGGAGACTAATATCATGTTTTCCACTCAAAACATACAAAATTGTTTCTCTTACTGTTTTCCATAAAGAGTTTTAATAGCAGTGGTAATACTAATGGAAACAAAGATTTAATACATATCACGGAGTACAGGTTGATATCAAATTAAACTGAAAAATGCTTATATTCATATATTCAAAAGGTAAAATTTCAAGGCTGAATAAGACCCTAAAGATCGTCAATTCAATTTCTTCAAAGGTGGAAGTGGTTAAGAAACAGCATTGGAATCAAACAGACTTGAATTTAGGTCCCTCTCACCAATCACTAAGGATGTGACCTGGACAGGTTATTTAAGTTTCCCAGGGATAATGCATCCCCTCTGGTATGTTAAAATGTTGTGCAAAAATAAGACATTCAGTCTTGCAGGACTGAATCAGATGATGGAGATAAAACATTAAAAACAATGCCTCATCCTGGGATGCCTGGGCAGCTCAGTCGGTTAAGTGACTTCAGCTCAGGTCATGGTCTCACGGTTCGTGGGTACGAGCCCCACCATGAGCCCCTAGTCTGACAGTCCGGAGCCTGCTCGGGATTCTCTCTCTCTGCCCCTCCCCAACACGTGCATGCTCACACGGGCTTTCTCTCAATAAAACAACTCTAAAACAAACAAACAAAACAAACAAAACACCCAAAGGACATGAGAGGAAGTGGAATAGGACTGCTTCTGCATCCCTCCCCTTTTCCAACAATTTAGTCCTAAAGCCATTAGGGATGAGAGCAAGGTAGGCATCCACAGATGTAGGGCAATAATCTGGTGGAGGGGTGGTCTGGTGACTCTGCATGGGTATAAGATTAGATTACAGAAAAGTTGCAAAGACAGGGGAGAGAGTTCCCAAATGTCCTTCATTCAGTTTCCCCTAATGTTAACATTTTACATCCAACCAGGATGAAGAGGATATCCACTTCAAGGGCGGATTGGCCTGGGACTCCAAGCTGAAGAGAGGCAAGGAAAACATAAGCTCACGGATGGGGATGGGAGCCAAAGTGAAGATTGGTTTCATGCAAGGAAATTGCTCAAATAATTAAATATGTTATGGCTGATGAAAGTCAGTTTCTCACTACCAAAAAAGAAAGTTTACAAAGGTGGAAAAGGAAAAGACTAGGGTGAAACTTTAGTCTTAGATTGGAATTGGTGATATTAGTAAGAAGTCATGGTTTTCAATGTATATGGATGGAAATGTGTGCATATGTGTGTGTATATTCCCTAGCTTTGTCCACAGAGAAAGCTTGAGAGCAGAGACAATGAACACACCTAACATCCAGGACTTAGATTGTAAATACCATTCTCCACTGAATGGAACTAGAACTTCCAGTTTTAGGCATTATTCTGGAGAAAGAACTGAACTGGCAAGCAGAGGTGTATGCACAAGAATATTCACTGTGGGACACCTGGCTGGCTCAGTCTGTAGAGCCTGCAATCTTCATCCAGGGGCTGTAAGTTTGAGTCCCATGTTGGGTGTAGAGGTTACTTAAAAATAAAATCTTTAAAAAAAAAGAATATTCATTGCAATTTTGTTTATAAGTTAAATACTAGAAACAACCCATATATGTAGCTATGTAAGTATGGCACTTACAGACAATGGAATATTTCACAGTCATTTAAAAAGAATGATATGGGGCACCTGGGTGGCTCAGTTTGTTAAGCCTCTGACTCTTGATTTTGGCTCAGGTATTGATCTCACGGTTCATGGGATTGAGCCCCGCAGCAGGCTCTGTGCTGACAGCATGGCGCCTGCTTGGGATTCTCTCTTTCCTTCTCTCTCTGCCCCCTCTCCCAAAAAACCCCAAAAAACTTTAAAAAGAATGATATAAATCTATGTTCACCAATATGGAAGTTTTCCATTATATACTTCTGTAAAGATAAAAAACAGCTTTTATACTATGAATCTTATTTATATAAAATTGCATGTGTACATGTATTTATACACAGAGATAAAGGGAATGATGTTCACCAAAATAATAAAAGTGGTTACTTCTGGATAGGTAAGATTTAGGATTTGATTCACTTTCTTTTTTTAAAATAAACTAGGGGGCACCTGGGTGGCTCAGTTGAGTGTCCAGCTCTGGATTTAGGTTCAGGTCATGATCCCAGGATTTGGGGTTGAGCCACATTGAGATTCTCTCTCTCTCCCCCTCTGCCCCTCTCCTCTGCTTGCACGCATGTGCTCTCTCTCTCTAAAAAACAAAAAGGAGATGTTAACAAAATGCTTTAAAATTTGGAATAAATTAAGATTACAGAAAAGTTGCAAAGACAGTAGAAAATTCCCACATGGCCCTCACCCAATTTTCTCTAATGTTTACGTGTTATATTAACTATGATACATTTGTGAAAATCAAGAAGTTAACACTGGGGTACTACAATTAACTACAGACTTTATTCAGATTCCACTATTTTTTCCACTAATGTGCTTTTCTGTTCCAGGATTGTATCCAGGATTCCACATTGCATTTGGTCATGTCTTCTTAGTCTCTTCTGATCTCTGATAGCCTTTTCTTGCTTTTCATGACCTTGTCAGTTTGAAGAATTCTGCTCAGGTTATTTTGTGAAATGCTCTTCAATTTGGGTTTGTCTGATGTAGTCCCCATGATTACAGAGTTGTGAGTTTTTGGAAGGATACTACAGAGATGAATGTCCTCATCATATCATTTCAGGGGACACGTGATATCAACATGACATCATTGCTGATGTTCACCTTGATCAGTTGGTTAAGGTGGTGTTACTGTTTTTCCCTTTCCACATTCTATTCTTTGGAAGCAAATCACTAAGTTCAGCCCTCACTCAAGAGGAGAGGAATTAAGCTTAACCTCCTAGTGACAGTTATATACATGTATTATATAGAATTCTTCTGTAGAGAGGATTTGTCCCTTCTCCCCTATTCATTCATTCATTCATTCATTCATTCATTCATTCATATCAGCATGAATGCATGCATACTTATTTGATACTTTGGGTTATAATCTAATACTATTTTATTTTGTTGCTCAAACGTTTCCAACTTTGGCCATTGGGAGGTCTTTCAGGTTGGCTCCTCTGGTCTTTTAACTGCCCTCATTCTTTTGTTTGCTTTTTACCCACTTCCTTTCTATATTTGGGGGGGTACTGTGAACTTTCTACCTTAGTATTATCTTCATTAGAAAAGTATCGATTATTTTCACTTAAAATTGGGGAAAAAAGATATGACCCCTACTTTGGTATTCTACCAATGAACTTCTGCTTGTTTTTCAAGTGCTCGGTAAAGCAAATAAGAGAGCAAAGAACAATTTCTTGCAGAAATTGCACTGCAGTGGATGTTTGTAGATGTAACTGAAATGATAGAAAATGGAATGAACTTTTATAGTTTTCAAGTGTTTGGGTGTCAGGTTCATTTAAAAAAAAATCCAGGACAGAGGTTTCCATTCAGTCATTCAGCCACACTAATTGCACACCTGTGGCAGGCACTGGAAAGACAACAATGAAAAAGGGGAGAGGGGGCATGAGTTAAGAGGCCAAATTTTGGGAGGGAGGTAACAGTAAGTATGCTTTTGAGTAAGAAACTCTTCTGTACCATATCATTAGCCTAGGGTAGTGTTAGACCTTGAGGACAGAGATAAAACAATACTTATACACTTGAGAAGTGGTGGACGTTGTGGTCAAGGGGACAGGCCAAAAGACGTAATGTCCATTCAAGGTGTGGAAATGCTCTGGGAGGAGGCTGTAATATTCGCAACAGCAAACCCTTATTATGAACCAGGTATTATTTTTTTTAACTTTTTTAAAAATTTATTTTTGAGAGAGACAGAGTGCGAGCGGGGGAGGGGCAGAGAGAGAGGGAGACACAGCATCCGAAGCAGGCTCCAGGCTCCCAGCTGTCAGCACAGAGCCAGACGCGGGGCTCGAACCCACGAACCCTGAGATCATGACCTGAGCCGAAGTTGGACGCTTAACGAGGGAGCCACCTAGGCGCCCCTGAACCAGGTGTTCTTATAAACCTTACTGCTATTCTATGAAGTAGCTGCTGTCATTGCCAGAGTGCAGAACCGAAGCAGAGTTTACATAACGTCCCCGAGCCTACGCACAGGGAAGGAGCTGACACAGGAACCAGCTCTGGGTATCCATAAATCAGGCGACATTTGAAAGAGAAAGCGCCTAACTGAATATACAAACTGGTTCTATCACCACTTTCCTCGCATTTTTTCCTTCTTGTTAGGTATGTGTCTTTCAAAAGCGTATTATTTCTCCACACTTCAGCACCAAGGCCCTTCAAACCCCAGAGTAATAGTAACTTCTCAGAAATGGAAGGGAAGTGTACAAGTGATTGCCGACGACGCGCGCGGCTGATCCACGGAGGCGGCCACTGGTTGAAGTAGCGCTTACCGCCCCCCCCCCCCCCCCAACTCCGCGGCCTGCAACGGGACACCTCTGGCAACCCCAGTCCTCGCCGGCGCAGCCACTATGTCTAATTCTGACTTCCGAATTCCGGAAAGGACCGCTTCCGGCGGTACCGGAAGTTCCGCGGGGACCGTTTCGGGAACGGACGTGGGACTGCAGTCCCTGTCCGCAAGGTGATCTCCGCCTTACCTCAGAATCCGGATACCCCGGACCTAACGTAGCAGCAAAGTGAGTGGGGTTCCTTGGCCGGGTCGTCCCGAGGGGGCGTGTATTGTTTGCCCTGAAGTGTCAGTGGCACCGATCGTAAACACGGAGCAATCGGAAGCCTTTCCGAGTTGCATTTAATCCCTGCGTGATCCCAGCTGAGGTTTAGCGAAAGCATTATTTGCCCAGAAGCGGCCGGCTGCCCCCCTCTTCCCGCGCGGCCCTCCTGCCCTGGGCCCAAGGCTTTCTGGGCCCGTTTCGAGGCGAAGCCACCCCAGAGCCGTCATTCTTATACAATGACTTCTTTTTACCTTTCAGATAAGTTCCAAGGCTGACAGGTCTTACATTCAGACGTTTCCACCAACGCACCAACATCTTTTTTCAGATTCCATGACGAGATCCTAGCTGCGAAAGAACACCGAATTGGGAGTCAGACAGCCTGGGTTCTAGGCCTGACTGTCATTAATTGGTGGTATGACATTGGAGAAATCTTTCTGACCTCTCTGGACTCCCCGTTTTCCTTTTCTATAAAATGAGGAGCGTGGAATAAGTAGTAAGTGAGGTAACTTCCAGTTTCCACACCTGGATTATTGCCACCAGTGTGTTTTCTAATTCCTGCCTCAGTTAGCTTTCTGTACTTTGGTTAATCTCCATGTAGGGCCTTTCTTCCCATTCCATCAATCCATGCCCATGTTTAGACTCATTTTAAAAATGTTTCCTAAAGGAATCCCTTTACTTCTTAGTCCAGGGACTCGTACCTAAATAAAAATTTTTTTAAGTTTTTTTTTTTTTTTTAACGTTTATTTATTTTTTGAGACAGAGAGAGACAGAGCATGAACGGGGGAGGGGCAGAGAGAGAGGGAGACACAGAATCGGAAACAGGCTCCAGGCTCCGAGCCATCAGCCCAGAGCCCGACGTGGGGCTCGAACTCACGGACCGTGAGATCGTGACCTGAGCCGAAGTCGGACGCTTAACCGACTGAGCCACCCAGGGGCCCCTAAATAAAAATTTTTAAATGTGCCATTCTTGAGGTGTTTAATGTGCCTGAGAATCATTATATTGGAACAGTAAACTCTGAATGACAGGACTCTGGCTTATTAAACTTTGAATCAACATCCTCATACACAATGTCTGAAAGATGGTACTCAGGAAATGTTTGCTGAGGAGAATATGTACACCTCACATTATTTTAGTTGCTCCTTTCCTCAAAAACTGTAAAGCAAAGCTGTAGAAATGCAGTCCTGAGAGCAGAAGGAATAGAAAATTCGAGGAGAAAAGTAATTATACTTTTGTTAGTTCTGAACTACACTGAGTTCTGTTGCAGTTTTCTCTCAAGTAAGTCTTCTGTCATTCCAAGAATGATATTCAAAAGGCATTATTCAATAGATATGTATGAAGTGTACTCTTCCCACTCTAAAGCATCTTCTTTTTGGGAGGGGGTGGTAGGAAGAGGGGAAAATGGTGAGGGTTGAAAGAAGACAATTTCAAGTAGAGCATATGCAAAGGTTCAAAAATGAGATGGCAAGCCATTGAAGATTACGGGGGGGAGGGCGTCAAAATAACGAAAGCTTGGAGATAGGAGTGAGGTGCTATAAGGGTGTAAGCGATGAAATGAGAGGTTAGCAGAGGGCAGGTAAATAATCCTTAATAACATGTGTTGAAGTGGCACGTGAAATGGGATAATGGCCTGCCACTGGAGGATGTTCAGCAAAAAGAGCTGATGAGTTCAAATTTGCATTTTAGAAAAATCACTCTCGTGATTTTGTTAGTTGATGTTTCAAGAATGAAAAAATCCCTTTGTAAGTTTTATTTCAGTTCTATCATAGTAGAGACATTACCAATAATGATGGTTAACATCTAAAGAGTAGTTATTCTACCTGATTAGAATTCCATCTGATTAGACTGTGAATTTTTTCAGGGCAGAAACCCAGCTTTACTCATGTAACTCTAGCACAATGCTTTTCATGTAGTAGATATCCAATTAATACCTGCTAACTTGATTTTAATATTACCCAATATTATTTTAAAACTTTTTCCAGGGGAAACATGAACCAGAAGATACTGAAATTGGAGAACTTGATACGATTTCACACTGTCTTTAGGCAGCTGCACGGCCTGTGTCAAAGAAGAATGTTAGCACAGTGGAGTCCTGTGTTTTCATCTGCTTACCCAGTGGGGATAGCTCAGCTCTGCATCCGACCCTGGCAAATAGACCCATTCGTTGGCGCGGCTCTATCTCAATATAGGCTTCTAGTAACAAAGAAGGTAGTTACAGATTTTAGTTACTGTATTACTTGGTCTGAGGTGAAAGTTCCTATAGCTCTGAGTAGAAATTCATTTTGAGTGTTTTGTCTTTATTCCTTAATGCTACACTTGAGGCAGTACATCTTTGTGAAGAAAGGAAGTTTTATTTTGTTGTTCAGTAATGTGGATGAATTTGATTACCTGGAAATCAGTGTATGATAGTGAATTAAGGATGTAGGATTTTAGATTTTAGTCTAAGGTTTAACTACTTATGGGAGTGTTACTTGGTAGAAATAGGAGCTGTGATTGTGGTAGATATTCCAGAATAAATCTACATTGTCACTTAAAGTTTTTTTCTTTCTTCTGTTGCATTCTGAATTTTTAATAGGAAGAAAGAGCACAGAAATCTCCATTGTCCTCACCAAAATTCAAAAAGGAAGTGGAGGTATGGATTGGAATGACTGTTGAGGAACTGGCCAGAGCAATGGAAAAAGACATAGGTGGGTCAGATACTTTTATAAGGAAAAATATGGGAACATGGGATACCTGGTATCTTATTTTCATTGAGACTAAGGCATTCAAAGATGAAAATTAGACTGATGGTTTAAAAAGATATCAAATCATTCTACTAGTTTTCACTTTAGGTCACAAACTCTAATTAGTTTCTTCTGTCTTTGCCAAAAATGGTGGAAAAGATTTTATCTGGAGTAACCCTTCTTTCTCAGAAATTCTGTAGGCTTTTAAGTTTCTTTATTTATTTTGAGAAGTGAGAGCATGAGCGAGGGAGGGTGGAAAGAAAGAGGGGAGAGAGAGAATCCCAAGCAGACTCCATGCTGTCAGCACTATGCAGGGCTCAATGTCGCAGACTGTCCGATCATGACCTGAGCCAGGATCAAGAGTTGGTCACTTAACCAACTGTGCCAACAAGGTACCCCAGACTATTTTAATGGGTTAATTAAAAAATAATTTTTTTTTATGTTTTTATTTTTGAGACCGAGAAAAAGCACGAGCTGGGGAGGGGTGGAGAGAGAGGGAGACAGGATCTGAAGGAGGCTCTGCACTGACAGCACAGAGCCTGATGGTAGAGCTTGAACTCAGCTAAGAGATCATTACCTGAGCCAAAGTTGGACCCTTAGCCAACTGAGCCACCCGGGTGCCCCGAGTTTTGTTTTGTTTTTTTTTTCTTCTGAGAGACAAAGAGCACTCCGGAGAAGGGCAAAGGCAGAGGGAGGAAGAGAGGGAGAATCTTAAGCAGGCTCCACGCTCAACACAGACCGAATCCAAAGAATATTTTTGGTCTGAAGTACTCTATTTATACTTACTATCCTTTTGTTGTTCTATAATTTTCTGATTTTCTTTTTGTTTTTTTTTTTTTTGTTTGTTTATTTTTGAGAGAGAGTGAGAGAAAGCGTGTGTGCATGCATGAGCCGGGGAGGAGCAGAGAGAGGGACGCAGAATCTGAAGTGGGCTCCAGGCCCTGAGCTGTCAGCACAGAACCCAATGCAGGGTTCAAACCCTGAACTGTGAGACCATGACCTGAGATCGTGACCTGAGCGGAAGTCAGACACTTAACCAACTGAGCCACCCAGGCGCCCTTGATTTTCTTTTTTCATTCATTGTGACAATATCTGTAGTGCCAGCAGAAAAATATTTGTAGTAGTAAATTTTTTTTAAAGCTTAGTTTATTTATTTTGAGAGAGAGAGTGCGAACGCAGGAGAGAGTGAGAGAGTGAGGAAGAGAGAGAATTTCACTGACAGTACAGAGCCTGGACCCAGTGCACAAAGTCATGAACCATGAGATCATGACCTGAGCCAAGACCAGGAGTCGGGTGCTTAACTCTTAACTGACTGACCCACCCAGGCACCCTATAGTAATAACTTTTAATAATACTGTTTTTGTTTATAAATGTATAGCATCGTCATTTTTTAAATTCCTTCATTGCACTCTTGGTGCATTTATTACCGATTTAAGATTATTGGAGCAAAATTTGAGTTTTTATTATAAGCTGACAATAAAATTCAGTAAATAAGAAATAGCCTATTATTGTAGCGAAATAAAGTGACAAGTGAAGCAGACTCTTGGCAAAAAGAAAAACAATTAATAATAAGAACTCATATTACTGAGCTGTTACCATGTACCAATACTTTATGTATCTTAACTCGTGTAATTCTCATAATGCACAAGAGTTAGGTATAATTATTATCCCTATTTGTAGGTTGAGAAACTGAGGCATGGAGAGGATGAATAATTGCCACAGTTAGTATATGGTAGAGTAGGATTTGAACTCAGGGAGTATGGCTACAGAGGTCATGCTTTTATTCACAGACCAAATTATCTCTCAAGAATTGTTATTTTGTAAATTAGAGCAGAGCTCTAGGGCAGAGCTAGAACTGTAATATGTTTCCAGCCTGAAAGTGCCACCACTCTTTGTATATGTGCATCCTCACAAAGAATAGAAAATTGGCCCAGTCTTGCATTTTTATAACTTTGCAGTTGGATTATATAATCATTTTATTAGAAAACTTTAAGAGAACAAATAGATATGACTGTATCATTGACATTTTTTCCAAGGAAAACTATATTGGTAGGATTTTATACATAATATTGATAATATACTTGATTTTTAAAACTTTTATTGTTGGCAGTTTTCATACATATATGAAAGCTGTAAGAATGGAATGTAAGTATAATGTATGCAGAAGCCAGTGACAATTATTAATATATCATTTATTCCATAAATATTTCTGTATTTATCACTAAAAGATGAGAATTCTTTTTTTTTAACATTCCCCCCCCCACACTCCCATAACTATAATAATTCCTCTGTGTTACCAAGTAAATAGTATAATTGAAATATGAATTTAATCACAGATCAGTGTTCTAGACCCAAAACTGATATGCCATGATTTAAATAAAAGCTCTCTATTTGAAGCTTATTTAATATTATATTTACTTCTCATTTGAATTAAAGATGGTGAATATTTTTAACTACTAAATTAGCAATGTGAGTATATATTTTTTTCCTTTATGTCAATTAAAATAACTTCGGATGTAATATCTGTGGTTGAAATGCTTTGGGTACTTTTCTCTTTGTAAATATTTAAGTCTTAGATAAAGATAAAATAATATGTTAATGCTAAATGCATTTAATATAAAGGGAAAGAGATTATCTCTGTATAAGCTACCTTTCAAAAGTTTAGGATATCAGGGGTGCCTGGATGGCTCAGTCAGTTAAGCATCTGACTCTTAATTTTGGCTCAGGTCATGATCTCACGGGTCCTGAGATCGAACCCCGCATAGGGCTCTGTGCTGATAGTGCAGAGCCTGCTTGGAATTCTCCCTTTCCCTCTCTCTTACTCTCCCCTGCTCGTGTGCATGCCCACTCACTTGCTTGCGCTCTCTCAAAATAAATAAATAACATTTAAAAAAAAAGTTTAGGATATCATATTGGAAAAGTATTTACTGGATTATTAGGGATTTTAGCATTGTTAGAATTGTATTCATTATAATGTGTATGTTTAGAATTTTATTGTTCTATGAGAGCATATCCATATAGAAAATTTGCATTGTATCATTTTTTTTTTTAAGTTTTATTTATTTAAGTAATCTCTACACCCTGTGTGGGGCTTGAACTCATGACCTTGAGATCAAGAGTAGCATGCTTTTCTAACTGAGCCAGCCAGGTGCCCCTGTATCATTCTTTTAAAATATATTTTCTTGGGAAAGGATGTTGTGGGATTATATATAGGAAAAGATTTCTTGGCGTTATTACAGAATAGGATCAGTGATAAGTGGAGCTGGCTTGCACCAACTTTTGAGTTGCTAATTTATAAGGAAGTATGTGAGCTTCCATTAAAAATCATAAACATAAACAAAGGTAACATAAATCATAAACAAAGGTAATAAATACTCCTTAAACCCCTTCACTCTTGGGGCACCTGGGTGGCTTAGTTGGTTAAGCATATGACTCTTGATTTTGACTCAGGTCATGATCTCATGGTTTATGAGATAGAGCCCCATGTAGGGCTCTGTGCTGACAGCTTGGAGCCTGCTTGGGATTCTCCCTCTCCCTCTCTCCCTCTCTCCCTCTCTCCCTCTCCCTCTCTCCCTCTCTCCCTCTCCCCCCCTTTCCCCCCCTCTCCCTCTCCCTCTCTCTCTCCCTCTCCCTTCCTCTCTCTCTCCCTCTCTCCCTCCTTCTCTACCCTTCCCCACCCTCAAAATACATAAGTAAACTAAAAAAAAAAAAAAAACCTTTTTATTTTACTGCATTTTTCTATGTGTTTTTGAGGTGATTTATGCCTATGTACCTATATGGTGGAAATTCTATATAATGGTATGCTACTGTGCATCTCTTTACATCTCTGTGTTCAGTGATTTCATGTTGATAGCTGAAATCAACCATCTGGGAGTATTTGCACTGTGGAAATTGGGAAATGCTATAATAATCAGGGTGTTTTTTTTTTTTTTTTGGTTTTGGAGAGTCTTCTGAGTAAACATTTACCTGCACACTACTGCATAGGATATTCTTTTAGTATAATGTTCTGTTTATTTGAGGATGCCTTTCTTTCATATGTGTCTCTCAGAATACATATTTAAAATTTTTTTCAGTGTTTGTTTTTGAGAGAGACAGATAGACAGACAGACATGAGCGGGGGAGGGGCAGAGAGAGAGGGAGACACAGAATCTGAAGTAGGCTCCAGGCTCTGAGCTGTCAGCACAGAACCCAATGCGGGTCTGGAACTCATGAGCCATGAGATCATGACTTGAGCTGAAGTCAGAGGCTTAAATGACTGAGCCACCCAGGCGGCCCTCAAAATATATATTTAAAGGGTGATTGAACATCTGGAAACATAAAACTTATTTTATTGACCGATACATTCATTTATCATCCACAAGGAAGTATGACTGAAATGAAAACAAAGTACATTATGTAAAATAGAATACCAAGTAAATATTTTTCTTACATTTCAAGACTTTTTGGAGACCATAAATAGATTACATAAGTAAATTAATTAATTATATGTGTGTGTATATACGGAGATTGTGTGTGTGTGTGTGTGTGTGTGTGTGTGTGTGTGTGTACATACAGTTGATCCTCGTTATTTGAGGATTTTGTATTGGAAGATTCTCTAAAATGTATTTGTAGCCCCAAAATCAGTATTCACACTGCTTTTGCAGTCATTCCTGGACATGTGTGGAGCAGTGAAAAATTTGAGTTACCCAATTACACATTCCTACCTGAGGTTCAACAAGGCAACATTCTGCCTTCTTGCTTTAGCTCTCATGCTGCAAACAAGTGTCATTTTGTGGCTTATTCAGTGCCACATTTTTACATTTTTATGCTTTTTGTTGATTTTGCTGATTAAAATGGCTCCTAAGCATAGTGGTGAAGTGTTACTAACTGCAAGAAGGCTGTAGTGTGCTTTACAGAGAAAATGCATGTGTTAGATAAGCTTTGTTCATGTGCTGTTTTTAGTGCTTTTGGCTGGGCGTTCAGTATTAATGAATCAACAGAATACATTAAATAAGGTGTCTTAAAACAGAAACACATAAAACTAGGTATGTATTGATTGCTAATGAAGATGTGACCAGGAGCTGAAGGAACCTACTAACCTTATATTTTTCCTTGGAATGATGGTTTAGTAGTTGCTAATTCAGTATTCATGGCAAGTTTATAGAACAGAACTGCTGCAAATAATGAATATCAACTATATATACATACACATTTGTATAGACATGACATATGTAACTACAAGTTTTCAAAGAACTCAATATTAAATGTATACAATATGCCTAATAATGTTTTGTTGGTGGCTCAGATCATTCATAAGGTACATATTCACATATTTATGAATATGTAGAAATGTTAATATAAATGAATCATATTTTAAAGATTATTTTCTTTTCAGCTTATTTGTGGTTTGTTAACAGAGGAACAGCTTACATAGTTAATTCCTCTCATTGAGTATACTGTTTATATTGAGATTTATTAATAGAGGTCACTTTCGTGAACATATTTCATGATCCTAAAAGGTTTTTCTGTCCCACCCAGATTGTGTATATGAAGCTTTAATGAACACTGCTTTTGACATAGATTCACTCGAAGCACACTCACATTTAGATGAAGTCTGGATCAAAGAAGTGGTAAAGAAGGCGGGGATGAAGTTAAAATGGAGCAAATTAAAACAGGACAAAGTCAGAGAAAATAAAGATGCTGTAAGAAGGTAAAACTTAACCATGTATATTGCGGAAAGAAGACCACTTAGTTTTACTTACACTTTATAATGGAAAGATTTGCTTTAAAATTTTTTTTGCAATTAAAGTGACATGGGAATATAGATTAAACTTTTCTTCGAAGTGTTTAAAACATCAGAGTGTTTAAATATATTCAGGTTATCAAACTCTAAGGGTTGTTTTTCTTAGTTTGTTGAGTGTATATATTGACCCTGAATTTAAAAATTTTATTCAGTTCTGCTTGTTGTTTTGAAAATGCCAACTGTGCATGGGCAGTCATTACATGTCTTGTCATAGGTTATTATATGTGTGGAAGGGGAAGATAGTTATATCTAATCAAAGCTGAATGTTGGATTGTATTGTTAGTGGTAGTTCACAGAGATGACTGCAAACCAATTCATTGGCTATAAAGATATTTAAGAAATGAAACTCCTTTGCTGTTAATTGTAGGCCTCAGGCAGATCCAGCTTTATTAACCCCAAGGTCCCCAGTTGTTACTGTAATGGGCCATGTTGATCATGGGAAAACGACGTTACTCGACAAACTGCGAAAAACTCAAGTGGCAGCAATGGAAGCTGGAGGCATCACTCAGCACATTGGTGCCTTTCTTGGTATGACCCAAATTACCTTACAGTGTGCTTGGGAATCCCACGTACTGTTTTCTTAAACCAAGTGTCCTAACGTGAGATACACAAATTAAAAGTAAAAGGAAAGTCTAAAGCTTAAGGCTGTTGGTCTGATGAAATATCGAGCAGCTGGTTAATAAAGCTTATTTTGTACATTCTATAAGAAGAAAATTATATTTTTATTCTGGCAATTCTTAGTTTGGCTTAATGAACTTAAAATTGTTCAATGCCTGGTTACAATAATGTTCATAATAATAATTAGATAGCAGCTACCATTACTGAGCAACTAGCATGTGCCCAGCACTGTGGTGTGTGGTGTGGTGAGCCCCTTATTTATATGCTTTATTTTTATCTTCACAACATCACGAAGTACGTATTAATACCCCTGTTTTACAGATAAGGAGGCTGAGGCTTGGATAGGTTATTTGTTTGAGATATACAGCTAATAAATGGCAAAGCTAGGATTTACATCCAAGGCAGGGTTTGGGCTGGGTTTGGGCTCAAATCCTGAGCTACTCTGTACTAAATTGCCTTTTGCTTAAGGCAATTGTGTAGCTAATGAAAGGGAAACTTCCTATGTAACTATCAGTCTGTTCTCTCCCCAGAATAGATACCAGTTGGTACATTTATGAAAATATGTTCTAAAACTATAAAAAGTTTTACTTTGAAATTATAACATGAAAATACTAAATGTTTCACTGCTTTGTTATCATTTTTCAGTGTGAAATAATGATTTGTATTGTTCCCAATTAAAATTAATGGGAGGAATAAATTATTTTAAGGAATTATTGATTCTATTTGATAATTTCACATATATTCCTTTGTATTAAGAAAGCGCACATTTGAGTCCTTAGTATTTTTGGATTTCTGTTTCCACAGTGTCTCTGCCTTCTGGGGAAAGGATCACCTTTCTTGATACTCCAGGACATGCTGCTTTCTCAGCAATGAGGGCCAGAGGTGCTCAGGTCACTGACATTGTCATATTGGTCGTAGCTGCAGATGATGGAGTGATGAAACAAACTGTAGAATCTATTAAGCATGCCAAAGATGCTCAAGGTACTGTGTGGCTGATTATGTGTATCAGGAAAGCAGTTGCTTTTTTTTTTTTTTTTTTTTTAAAGATCTACAAAAAGTCACTATTCTGGTGCCCTGTACATGTAGCTCATTTAATCTACCTGGCAATTCCAGGATTATTATGCCTGTTTACAGATACAGCTCAAAGATGATTGAATTGTTTTCCCACAGATGTAACTACTAAAAAGAGTGTAGCAGGAGTCAGCTGGGGACCTGTGACCATAAATACAGTCCTTCTAATACTGTTTACTTAGTTGGCATGGTGTGAAAATGTAATAACCACGGATGACTTTTTAAAAACTTTTTTGTTATGGAAATGTTAAATAATTATAAAGGTAAGAGTAGAATAATAAACTACATACCCATCACCTGTTAACATTAGGAGTTGCAAAATGGTTATATTCTAATTCTGTTATTCCTTGTTCATTTATTATCTTGAATTCTTCTCTAAAGAGAAACTTTTTCTTCGTATGCTTTACATAAATTCTTAGAGGTATAAAATTGAAACTTTTTAAAATCACTTCTCCATTTAGAAACTGTGGTAATAGCTACTACCCCCCCACACACATACTTTGTTCATTCATTCTTATTCTGATATTACCCTACACTCACTGAGAAAACACTGTTATCTTGAGAAAATGTACCTTGATGGAGTGCCTCATATTCCCTTAGGTTTGTTGGCAAGAGAAAAAAAAGTTTGAGAATCACTGTCTACGCCAGTTCTTAACAGCATGAAAACTAAGAACCGAGAATGGCAGGAACTGCCTCCAGTTACAGTTAATTTTCAACGTGTCCACATTTGAAATCTGCTCTTTTAGCTTCCAGTGTTACTCTCCTTTCTTTTTAATTCTTCAAAACTGCCTTTGTGGAATGGACTATGTTCTTAATGAACATAGGGAATATTACAACAAAAAGAAGAGGGTGATAAATTTGCCAGGGATCCATAGCAAAGCAGTTGGTTGAGATAGGATAAATTTCTTACATCATGCTTTCTATTCCTGTTCTCTTGTCCCTTAAGTTCCATCTCATCCATATGGAATGTACTTTTTCATAATAGTAGGTTGTGGATAACTTTTTTGTTTCTGTTTTCAATTTTTCTTCCTTTGATACCTGAGAAAATTGTAGCACAGTTGGTGAAACCCAACCAGAGAATGATCTCCTAGCATTTTATGTGATTTGTCTAATGATCAAGACAAGTAGATTATAAGATTATTTGGTTCATTTGTTCAGTAAACATTTATTGAGAATCTACTATATGTCAGTCACTAAAGTATATATTAATAAAGAATTGCGGTAAATCCTGAAAGAAAATTTACAACAGTGCTACTTCGTTTCAGCCCAGGGTAAGATGTTGGCTTTCAATGAGTTAATAGCTCCTCAAAAGAAGAGGCAAATGATCTAGTGGTGTTAGAATTGAATTAGAATCTTTTCTGGACTTTTTAATTTTCTTTCTGCAGACAGATTATCTTCAGTGTAATTGCTGATCTTGCTTTCAGGCTTACAGATAGGCCTTTTTCTACCCAAATTCTGTTTTTGTTTGTTTGTTTGTTTTCATCTTAGGTATCTATTCTTATTTCAGAATCTGCTTATAATTACAATTTGACATCTCGCATCCAGAATCCTCCTTTATGTGCAGAAAGATGAGGGGGTCTAAAGCAGGTCTTTTAGGTCTTTCTTGTAGTTTAGTACATCTACTCAGTAAAGAGAAAGCTAGAAAAGGTTGGTGTCTTTCACTGTGAATACCTGGAATTGAAGGTATCCTCATTTGCATTCTTTTTAACTCTTCAGTTCCTATCGTCCTTGCTATAAACAAATGTGACAAAACTGAGGCTGATCCTGAAAAAGTGAAAAAAGAACTGCTAGCTCATGATGTAGTGTGTGAGGATTATGGAGGTGACGTTCAAGCAGTGCACATCTCTGCACTCACGGTAAGTGCAGGCACCTCAGAGATGATGTGTTAGGTTGGGACTGCTGTTCATAATGCACATAGGGGACTATACCTAAAGAACATCTGGACATATATAATTTCTGTTGTTTAAAAACCCTTTGTGTACTAGGCAAGGCTAGCATCATTATCTTGGTTTGGCAGATTAGGAATTCGACTTTCTGGGGTGCCCGGGTGGCTCAGTCAGTTAATTGTCCGACATTGGCTTAGGTCGTGATCTCACGGTTCATGAGTTCAAGCCTTCTGTCGGGCTGTATGCTGATAGTCCAGAGCCTGCTTCAGAACCTCTCTCTCCCTCTCTTTCTGTCCCCTACCTCAAAAATAAATAAACATTAAAAGAAAGAAAAAAAGAAATTAGGCTTTCTGAGGTCAGTCACCAGTCTAGGGTTATACAACAGAACAGTCAGGGATCAAGTCCAGACCTAATGTTTTTCTTTTTTTTTTTTTAATTTTTTTATGTTTCGTTTTTTATATTTTTGAGAGAGAGAGAGAGCGAGCAGGGGAGGGGCAGAGTGACGAAGACAGAATCTGAAACAGGCTCCAGGCTCTGAGCTGTCAGCGCAGAGCCCAATGCTGGTTTGAACTCACGAGCAGTGAGATCCTGACTGGAGCCAAAGTGAGATGCCCAACTGACTGAGCCACCCCAGGTGCCTCCTAATGCTTATTCTAAGTATAAGAATACATGGTGGATGTTGTAGGCATAGCGTAATAGTAAGCTGCTGAAGACTATTTTAAGCAGAAATGAAATCCAATTTGTAATAAAAAGTGCTTGATTTTATACTGAAAAATTACAGACTAGGTTTTAGGGCATTTAAGAGATATTTAAACATAAAAATTTCACTAATACAAAGATAAAACATTTGGGTTCAGTTTGTTATTGATTGATTCAATGTTTCCATGAATTAAATTGCCATAAGTTTTGTTATTTATGATGAATTCCAGTTTCTTTTTTTTTTTTAATGTTTATTTATTTTGAGAGAAAGAATGTGAGTGGGAGAGGGACAGAGAGAGGGAGACAGAATCCTAAGCAGGCTCCGTGCTGTCAGTGCAGAGCCTGAAGTGAGACTAGATCCCAGGAACTGTGAGATCATGACCTTAGCAGAAATGAAGAGTTGGATGCTTAAAGCCAACTGAGCCACCCAGGTGCCTCTCCATTTTCCTTTAAATGACCAATTATTCTTTTCTGATTGAAAAACACCAAGGAAGCTGAGTACCTGCTTTGTGACAGCATTTTGCAGTTCTCTTTTCCTGTACAGGTTGCTGCTAGGTAACAATTTCCTTTTTTGTCCATTCTTATCATGTTCCATGGTTCATATATAATCTACAATACTTTTTTTTCCAGATCACTTACTGAGGGGATGGTACTGTATTTGGCCACCTTCCTCTAATTAAGTCTCATTTTATCTTTAATTTTCCTAAATTTGTTACTTCTAGGATGCTTAGCAATCATGCCTTCATTGATATTGAAGCCAGGCCTCTTTTTCTCTGAAACTCTGAAATGCCACCTTGCTTTATTATGTTTCCACTATACCTCAATTGCTGTTGCACTCTGAAAGCCAGATGGCAAGATTAAAACATTTGACGACACAGCCACCTTTTCTGCCCAGATACCTTGAGATGAGTAGGTAAATGTAAAGCTGCTTATGCATGGCAGAGATGATTTCTGGGGAATGGAGGGAATTGGGAGGGTGTGGCAGGAAGAAAGATGAGGCCTTTTTTTCCAAGTAGAGATAGAGGACTATTTCATGCAAAGAAACACCCCAGCTCTACTTTTCAGAGTAGCATTTTGTAACTTTAAATCAATACTGGGAATATTTGGATGGGTAAGGAAAGTATTGTTTTGTATTGTTTACAAACAACTTGTCTCCGTTGTTTTATACTCTGACAACTGAGCAGCCTCTTAACTGACAGAGAGTGGAAAAATCCCTTGCCCATCAGTTTGAGTTCCATCGTCAGTTAATCAGCTGTGTGATCTTGGAGCCCTAGAATGCCTAGTAACCATAGATCATTAAAGGTGAAAGAATCATCTAATCAAGCTTCCTCATTTCCAGTTGAGAAAAGGCGATCCAGGGAGGTGAACTGATTCTTCAAGGTTACACAGCTGGGTAATTACAGAGTGTATCTTAGACACTGGGTCTAGTTTGTACTTTTTTTCCTTATTAATAAGAGTAAGTAATGTTTGATTTACTTATTTTACAGCATTCTTGAGTGGATCGAATGAAATAATAGATGTGAAAGCTTATTCAGTTGGCTAGAACTTCAAATGTCAAGTAGCATTGTAAAGAAAGCGAAAGGAAGAGAACGCAATGGTAGAGACAGATGGAGGAGAATGCATGAAGCATGTATTTATGAAGGGGTATTAATAAGCACCACTAGTGGGCCTCCTTTTAAGAAAATCACCATTCTTAGGGTGGCTGGATGACTCAGTTGGTTGAGCATCACACTTTGGCTCAGGTCATCATCTCATGGCTCATGAGTTCGAGCCCCGCGTCAGGCTCTGTGCTGACAGCTTAGAGCCTGGAACCTGCTTCAGATTCTGTCTCCTCCCACTCGTGCTTTGTCTCTCTCTCTTCTCTCTCCCTCTCTAAAAAATAAATAAACATTAAAAGAAAAGAAAAGAAAATCGCCATTCTTTCTTGAAAGATACGTCCCTGGATCAGGTTTTCTTGCTTTTCCTTCCTTTGTTTTTTCCTCCCTCCCTCCCCACTTCCTCCTTTCCTGGCCTCCTTCCTTCTTTCTGATTGGGTGATTCATGCGTTTAATGCTTAAAGAGAAAAGTATGATATAACTGTTTAGGATTATTTCGCTTTCTGACACTGGTATTTACATTTACAGATAATATTTTATTTATGTATCTTAACACCCCTTTTTGTTATTAAAGGGCGATAATCTGATGGCTTTGGCAGAGGCAACAATTGCTCTGGCAGAAATGTTAGAACTGAAGGCAGACCTCAATGGTCCAGTAGAAGGAACAGTAATAGAATCTTTCACGGACAAAGGAAGAGGGTAGGACTGTTAAAATGCTTGCTTTTTAATAATTTGTTTCATTGTTTTTGTGGCTTGATTATGTAACAATGCATTATTTTATTGCATATTATTGTTAGACATGGACAATATTTTCAAAGCATTTGTTTTGAAAAGCATTTTATTGCATTAGCACATGGAACATAAAAATTTAGTTATCAGGGGCTCCTGGGTGGCTCAGTCAGTTAAGCGTTCTACTTCGCCTCAGGTCATGATCTCACAGTTCGCGAGTTGGAGCCCCACATAGGGCTCTGTGCTGACAGCTCAGAGCCTGGAGCCTTCTTCATATTCTGTGTCTCCCTCTCTCTCTCTGCACACCCCCCCCACCCTTGCACACTTTCTCTCTCAACAATAAATAAACATTAAAAAATTTGTTTTAAATGCAGTTACCAGTAGCCATAGCAACTATCTATATATCTCCTAGTCACATTTAATGGTGTAAGTAGTTCAGTTTGTTTGGATATTTTTCTCCACTGACTTAACTGAATTGATAAATAAAGCCTCATAGACTAACAAATTGGAATGAAATAGCAAATGTTGCCCTCAGGGTTTCTAAATTCTTTATGTCCTTACCCATTAATATTCTATCCAGGAAGGTCTTTGGGTTTTTCTTCTCTTTAATTTTTCTCCCTATCAGCAAGAGGTTTGCACTTCTTAACAAATTAGTTACGGAAAGAGGATTAGCATTCTGTCAGAACACTCAGCTAACTGCATCCTCCACTGCCATAAGCTGATAAAAATGTGTTTTGTTTTCCTTTTTTTTTAAAGCGTGATAAAAGAAGCATAACATTAAATTTACCGTCTTAACCATGTTTAAGTTCAGTAATATTAAGTATTTTCACATTGTTGTACAACAGATCTCTAGAACTTTTTAATCTTGTAAAACAAACTCTGGGGCATCTGGGTGGCTTGGTCAGTTAAACATCTGACTTTGGCTCACGTCATAATCTCACAATTTAGGTTCAAGTCCCACACGAGGTGAGCTTGTGCATATATTTCAGGTGAGCTCGTGCCCTGCTTCGGGTGAGCTTGTACTCCGCTTTGGGTGAGTCCTGCTTCACTCTCTTCTCTCTCTCTGTCTCTCTCTCTCTCTCTGTCTCTCTCCCCTTGTGGGATTCTCTCTCCCTCTCCCTCTCTCTGCCCCTCACTCACTTGCACCCTCTCTCAAAAAACCAAAAAAAACCAAAAAAACCCCCCAAACCCCAAACAACAACAACAACCAAAAAAACCCCACTGAAACTCTATACCCACGAAACCCTAATTTCCCCTCCTCCCAACCCCCAACCCTTGGCAAGTATCTTTAGATTTTCTGTTTCTATGATTTTGACTACTTTAGGTACTTCATATGACTAGAATAATACAGTATTTGTCCCTTTTGACTGGCTTATTTCATTTAACATAATGTCCTCATGGTAGGTTCATTCATGTTGGAGCATGTGACAGGGCTTTCTTTTTTAAGGTTGCATAATATTCCATTGTATGTATACACTGAATTTTCTTTATTACTCAGTTGATGGACATTTGGTTTGCTTCTACCTTTTGGCAATTATGTAGAAATGTTTTTATAGTATGAAAAACTGCTTGAGAAGTAGTGGGGTTAACCCTGTGTGTACATAGTATATATATTTTAGTCTCGTAAAGATATCTTTGCTCTACTTAAGAAAGTGCTTACTTCCTGATTATGGCATTATGAATATATATGTTTATTTTCATTTTAGGCCTGTTACTACAGCTATAACTCAAAGAGGAACTTTGAGGAGAGGCTCCATTCTGGTTGCTGGAAAGAGTTGGGCAAAAGTACGCTTAATGTTTGATGAGAATGGAAGAACAATCCATGAGGCCTGTCCCAGCATGCCAGTGGGAATTGTAGGCTGGAGAGACCTCCCTTCTGCAGGAGATGAAATCCTTGAAGTAGAATCTGAGGTATATCTAGCTTAATTCCTATATACATGATACAGTGATTTTATTTATTTATTTATTTATTTATTTATTTATTTATTTATTATTTTAATAATTTAGTGTCAAGTTAACTGACATACAGGGTATACAGTATAGTCTTGCCTTCAGGTGTAGATTCCCATGATTTATCCCTTACATACAATACCCAGTGCTTATCCCAACAAGTGCCCTCCTCAATGCCCATCACCCATTTTCCCTGCACCCCCAACCCCCCGCCCCCATCAACCCTCAGTTTGTTCTCTGTATTTAAGAGTCTCTTATGGTTTGCTTCCCTCTTGTTTGTAATTTTTTTCCTTCCCTTTCCCTGTGGTATTCTGTTAAGTTTCTCAAATTCTGTATATGAGTGAAGACATACGTAGCATGATACCCTCTAGTTCCATCCACATTGTTGTAAATGGCAAGATTTCATTATTTTTCCTCACCAAGTAGTATTCCATTGTTATATACTATATCTTCTTTATCCATTCATCAGTTGATGGACATTTGGGCACTTTCCATAATTTGGCTATTGTTGATAGTGCTGCTATAAACATTGGGGTACATGTGCCCCTGTGAATCAGCACTCCTGTATCCTTTGGATAAATTCCTAGTAGTACTATTGCTGAGTTGTAGGGTAATTCCATTTTTAATTTTTTGAAGAATCTCCACACTGTTTTCCACAGTGGGGCACCAGTTTGCATTCCCACCAACAGTACAAGAGGGTTCCCCTTTCTCCACATCCTCACTAACATCTGTTGTTTCCTGAGTTAATTTTAGCCACTCTGATTGGTGTGAGGTGGTATCTCAGTGTGGTTATGATTTGTATTTTCCTGATGATGAGTGATATTGAGCATCTTTTCATGTGTCTGTTTGTCATCTGGATGTCTTCTTTGGAAAAGTATCTATTCATGTCTTCTGCCTATTTCTTCACTGGATTATTTGTTTTTCGGGTGTTGAGTTTGGTAATTTCTTTATAGATTTTGGATACTAACCCTTTATCTGATATGTCATTTACAAATATCTTCTCCCTTTCTGTCAGTTCCTTTTTAGTTTTGTTGATTGTTTCCTTTGCAGTGCAGAAGGTTTTTCATCTGGGTGAGGTCCCAATAGTTCATTTTTGCTTTTATTTCCCTTGCCTTTGGAGACATGTTAAGTAAGAAGTTGCTGTGGCCGAGGTCAAAGAGGTTGCTGCCTTTTTTCTCCTGTGGGATTTTGATGGTTTCCTGTCTCACATTTAGGCCTGTCATCCATTTTGAATTTATTTTTATGTATGATGTAAGAAAGTGGTTCAGTTTCATTCTTCTGCATGTTGCTGTCCAGTTCTCCCGGCACCAGTTGCTAAAGAGACTCTTTTTTCCATTGGATACTCTTTCCTGCTTTCTCGAAGATTAGTTGGCCAATTCTGGGTTCTTTATTCTATTGCATTGGTCTATGTGTCTGTTTTTGTGACAATACCGTACTGTCTTGATGATAACAGCTTTGTAGTACAGGCTAAAGTCTGGGATTGTGATGGCTCCAGCTTTGGTTTTCTTTTTCGACATTACTTTGGCTATTTGGGATCTTTTGTGGTTCCATACAAATTTTAGGATTGTTTGTTCTAGCTCTGAGAAGAATGCTGGTGCTATTTTGATTGGGATTGCATTGAATGTGTAGATTGCTTTGGGTAGTATCGACATTTTAGCAATATTTGTTCTTCCAATCCATGAGCATGGAATATTTTTCCATTTCTTTTTGTCTTCTTCAATTTCTTTCATAAGCTTTCTATAGCTTTCAGTGTACAGATCTTTTATCTCTTTGGTTAGGTTTATTCCTAAATATTTTATGGTTCTTAGTGCAGTTGTAAATGGGATCGATTCCTTGATATCTCTTTCTGTTGCTTTGTTATTGATGTATACAAATGCACTGGTTTCTGTACATTCATTTTATATCCTGTGACTTTGCCGAACTCATGTTTCAGTTCTAGCAGTTTTTTGGTGGAGTCTTTCGGGTTTTCCATGTAGAGTATCATGTCATCTGTGGAAAGTGAAAGTTTGACTTCTTCTTTGTCAATTTGGATGCCTTTTATTTCATTTTGTTGTCTGATTGCTGACCCTAAGACTTCCAAGATTATGTTAAATAGCAGTGGTGAGGGTGGACATCCCTGTCGTGTTCCTGATCTCAGGGGAAAAGCTATCAGTTTTTCCCCACTGAGGATGACATTAGCTGTGGGCCTTTCATATACGGCTTTTATGATGTTAAAGTACGTTCCTTCTATCCCAACTTACTTGAGAGTTTTTATTAAGAAAGTATGCTGTATTTTGTCAAATGCTTTTTCTGCATCTGTTGACAGGGTCATGTGGTTCTTATCCTTTCTTCTGTTAATGTGATGAATCACATTGATTTGTGAGTATTGAACCAGGCATGTAGCCCAGGAATGAATCTCACTTGATCATGGTGAATAATTCTTTTAATATACTGTTGAATTCGATTTGCTAGTATCTTGTTGAGAATTTTTGCATCTGTGTTCTTCAGGGAAATTGGCCTGTAATTCTCCTTTTTAGTGGGGTCTTTGTCTGGTTTGGGAATCAAGGTAATGCTGGCTTCATAGAATGAGTCCAGAAGCTTTCCTTTCATTTCTATTTTTTGGAACAGCATGAGCAGAATAGGTATTAACTCTGTTTTAAATGTCTGGTAGAATTCCCCTTGGAAGCCATCTAGACCAGGACTCTTACTTGTTGGGAGGTTTTTGATAACCAATTCAATTTCTTCACTGGTTATGGGTCTGTTCAAATTTTCTGTTTCTTCCCATTTGAGTTTTGGGAGTGTGTGGGTATCTAGGAATTTGTCCATTTCTTCCAGATTGTCCAGTTTGTTGGCATATAACTTTTCATAGTATTCACTAATAATTGTTTGTATTTCTGTGGTGTTGGTTGTGATCTCTCCTCTTTCATTTGTGGATTTTATTTATTTGGGTCCTCTCTCTTTTCTTTTGAGAAGTCTGGCTAGGAGTTTATCAATTTTGTTTGTTCTTTCAAAACAGCTCTTAGATTCATTGATCTGTTCTACTGTTTTGTTTTTTTTTTAATTCTATATTGTTTATTTCTGCTCTAATCCTTATCATTTCTCTTCTGCTTGGGTTTTCTTTGCACTCTGTTTCTAGTTCCTTTAGGTGTGAGGTTAGATTCTGTATTTGGGATTTTTCTTGCTTGTTGAGATGGGCCTGGATTGTGATGTATTTTCCTCTGAGGACTGCCTTTGTTGCATCCCAAATGGTTTGGACTGTTGTGTTTTCATTTTCATTTGTTTCCATATATATTTTAATTTCTTCTTTAAATTTCCTGATTGACCCATTAATTCTTTAGTAGTATGTTCTTTAACCACCATATGTTTGGAGGCTTTCCAAATTTTTTCTTGTGGTTGATTTCAAGTTTCTTAGCGTTGTGGTCTGAAAATATATATGGTATGATCTCCATCCTTTTATATTTGTTGAAGGCTGTTTTGTGACCCAGTATGTAATCTCTTTGGGAGAATGTTCCATGTGTACTTGAGAAGAATGTACTGCTTTTGGATGAAAAGTTCTGAATATATCTGTCAAAGTCCATCTGGTCCAGTGTATCATTCAAAGCCATTGTTTGCTTATTGATTTTCTGCCTAGATTATCTGTCCATTGTTGTAAGTGGAGTATTATAGTCACCTGCAATTACAGTATTATTACCAATAAGCTTGCTTATGTTTGTGATGAACTGATTTATTTATTTGGGCATTTCAAGTTAGGGGCATAAACATTTATAATCATTAGCTCTTCTTGATGGATACACCCCTTAATTTTGATATAATGCCCTTCTTCATCTCTTCTTACAGTCTTTGTTTTAAAATCTAGTTTGTATGGGGGGCACCTGGGTGGCTCAGTCAGTTAAGCGTCTGACTTCAATTCAGGTCACGATCTCACGGTCTGTGAGTTCGAGCCCCACATCAGGCTCTGTGCCAACAGCTCAGAGCCTGGAGCCTACTTCAGATTCTGTGTCTCCCTCTCTCTCTGCCCCTGTCCCACTCACACTCTGTCTCTCTCTCTCTCAAAAATAAAATTAAAACATTAAAAAAAATTTTTTTTAATAAATAAAATCTAGTTTGTGTGATGTTAGTATGGCTACTCAGACTTTCTTTTGACATCCGATAGTGTGATAGATGGTTCTCCATCCCCTCACTTTGAATCTGAATGTGTCCTCAGGTCTAAAATGAGTCTCTTGTAGGCAGCATATAGATGGATCTTCTTTTTTTATCCATTGTGTCTTTAGACACAATGATACCTTGTGTCTTTTGATTGGGGCATTTAGTCCATTTACATTCAGAGTTATTGTTGGAAGATATGGATTTAGTGTCATTGTGTTATCTGTAGGTTTCATGCTTGTGGTGTTGTCTTTGGTCTTTTGTAGTCTTTGCTGCTTTCCACTCACAGGGTAACCCTAGGATTTCTTGCAGGGCTGGTTTAGTGGTCATGAACTCCTTCAGTTTTTGTTTGTCTGGGAAACCCTGTATCTCTCCTTCTACTTTGAATGACAGCCTTGCTGGATAAAGGATTCTTAGCTGCATATTTTTCCTATTCAGCACATTGAATATTTCTTGCCACTCCCTTCTGGCCTGCCATGTTTCAGTGGGCAGGTCTGCTATGACCCTTATGTGTCTTCCCTTGTAGGTTAAGTAAGACCTGTTTGTCCCTAGCTGCTTTCAGAATTCTCTCTTTTTTTTTGTATCTTGCCAGTTTCACTGTGATATATCATGGGATACAGTGATTTTAAATATTCTCTGATTTTCTACCAAATAAGTATATTTGTGTTAACAAATAAGTATAGACTATAAAGGCTTATGAGAGGGCCAGTGGTGCCATTTTATAATTTGGCTATGGAATTTTTAAAAATTTGAGGTAATATTTAAAAATTAAATCATCTGGGGCGCCTGAGTGGCGCAGTCGGTTAAGCGTCCGACTTCAGCCAGGTCATGATCTCGCGGTCCGGGAGTTCGAGCCCCGCGTCAGGCTCTGGGCTGATGGCTCAGAGCCTGGAGCCTGTTTCTGATTCTGTGTCTCCCTCTCTCTCTGCCCCTCGCCCGTTCATGCTCTGTCTCTCTCTATCCCAAAAATAAATAAACGTTGAAAAAAAAATTAAAAAAAAAATTTAAATCATCTGTGTATACAAAGACCCTAGATTAAAGTTTTATAAGTTTATCAAAATTTATAAAATTAGTGGTTTCATATATGAGTTAGACCAAGCTAAGTTGGGGAAAAACATCAAGCTTTTTTAATCCATAAGATGCTGGTTTCTCTTTAGTTAAATAATGCCTGTTTTTTCCCCTATAAAGCATAGGGCACGTGAAGTTGTTGACTGGCGGAAGTATGAGCAAGAACAGGAGAAAAACAAAGAGAATCTGAAAATAATAGAAGAAAAGCGAAAGGAACACCAAGAAGCACATCGGAAAGCCCGTGAGAAATATGGCACTTTGCATTGGAAGGAGAGATCATTTCTAAAGTACCAAGAAAAAAAAGAACAAAAACCCTTAAGGACAAAAGAGAAAGAAGAAAAGGATTCAAATGTACTTCCTATAATTATTAAAGGTGACTTTGGAAAGATTTTACTTCATTACTCATTTTTGTATTATAAATATGTATATTTCTTCATTCTCACAATTAATTTGGGCCATTAAATTTAAGCTAAAATTATTTTGGTATTTTGGGGGAGATTTATTTTATTGATGTGTAATTGACATATAACATTATGTTAGTTTCAGGTATATAGCAGTGATTTGATATTTGTATATATTGCAAAATGACCACCACAGTAAGTCTAATCACCATACACAGTCACAAAACTTTTTTTTCTTGTGATAAGAACTTTTAAGATCTAGTCTTTTAGCAACTTTCAAATGTATAATATAGTATTATTAACTATAGTCACTGTACTGTACATTACATCCCCATGACTTATTTATGACTGGAAGGTTGTACCTTTTGCCCTCCTTTTTGCCCATGTCTCACTGGGGGAGAGGTGTTTTTTTTTGTTTTTTTTTTTTTTTTTTTTTAATGTTTATTTCTTTTTTAGAGAGAGAACACGAGCAGGGGAGGGGCAGAGAGGGGGATAGAGGATCCCAAGTGGGCTCCGTGCTGACAGCAGAAAGCCTGATATGGGGCTTGAACTCATGAACTCTGGATGACTCACTGGGAGAGATTTTAATAAACATTTTTCTTGATGTTTTGTTGTAAATGTACTTTTGGTTCTAAATACTTAAGTTAAATAGATGTTTATAATGCTAAACCTAAATAAAAGTGGTAAATACCATTCCTATTATGACTTTAAATAGATTTTTGTCATTTTGTGTCTGTTAATGTCTAACTCTTAACACCAGTAATTTCAAACTTTTTTAGGTGATGTTGATGGTTCTGTTGAGGCCATTGTGAACATTATGGATACCTATGATGCTTCACATGAGTGTGAACTTGAATTAGTACATTTTGGTGTGGGTGATGTCAGTGAAAATGATGTTAACCTTGCTGAAACATTTCATGGTAAGATTTCTTTTTCCTGTTTGTTTAACTGTGTTCCCTAGAACACACTGTGAACCATTACCTTCAGTCTTTTGTAGCTTGGCTAATCAACTTACCCTTTACCCTTATCAGCATCACCCTTCCTGCTCTAGTGGAGTCCCAGCCTTTGAGCTCAGTGGGATGCGCAGTATTGCAGCCATAACTTCACTCATTGTTTTCACACTACAACCTTGGGGAACTCTTTCAAGTCCCAGAAGGTTTTTTGATTTTACTTACTTACTTATTTATTTATAAATAAAGATACTGCCTTTCCCATTTCCCCACCCAATCCAAGGTTGGTTCTCTGTATCTTTTATTTAGACTTTTGAATGCTCCTGACACTGTAATCAGCCTGTTCAGTATTTTACTTCATCTTTTACTTTTGTCTACCTGTTTTTTGTCTATTGATAATTATATAAATCTTTCTTAGATTAAAAGCTGTGTTTAGCGTTAGTATATGCACTATTGAAGCAAACAGTTTTTAGCTTTAATTAAATGCCTAGAAGGTAGGGGGACTGGACTATTAGTTGAACTTACGATATACAAAAAGGTGACTCATGACTCACTTTAAGTCTAACACCTAGCAAGGCACCAACATTTTATTAATTAATGAATCACTTAGGAAGGAGGTACTTAGTGACTGTACTTATTTAGAATTAGATGTTACTTCTACTAAATAGTAATGCTGGTTATGGTTAATTCATTTTTAATTTTTATTTATTTTTAATTAAAAAAATTTTTTTTAATGTTTTTATCCATTTTTGAGAGAGAGAAAGAGACAAAGCATGAGCAGGGGAGGGGCAGAGAGAGGGAGACACAGAATCTGAAGCAGGCTCCAGGCTCTGAGCTATCAGCACAGAGCCTAATGTGCGGCTCCAACTTGTGACCTGAGTTGAAGTCGGACGCTTAACCGACTGAGCCACCCAGGTGCCCCAGTACTGGCTAATTCAAAGTATTTTCTAGGCATTGACCAGCCTAGCACTATACTATATAATGCAGGTACGTGTTAAATGATTTCTTAATGATAAAACTTTCAAGGTGGTTGTGTTTTTCTCTTGATTAACTTGTTTGCTTTCATTTTTATCACTTGTTTAAGGCCAGGAGTGTTTTGCTTTTTATTCCCTGTAAGGTATTTGCTGTTAAATATATTATTTGTTCTTTGGCAGAATAGTCAACTCCATAGAATTTCTTTCATTTCTTAAATAACTCTTAAACTTTACCAATTTAGTAACTATTTTGGAGCATCTTTTGGCCAGCTGAATATCTAAGAATAAACCACAAAAAGTTGTAGACAATAAGTTTATAATTTAGTAATACAATTGTTATTAAAATAATGTAAAAATATTTCAGCCCTATTCAATTTTTGTTTTCTTATTTCTCTGGTATAAAAATCAAAGTTTTGTTTAGCATACTGCCTTGCACAGTATGGGTACTTTTGTCTCTTAAATTAATGGGTTTAAAAATTATAAAGAAGTTTTCCTTGTTAAACAAGCTACAATAGTATTTGTAAAATCCTTTGGTTAATTTGAAAATTTACTAGTTTTCATGAGAAAAAATTACAGAATTTTTCATCACCCCTTTTAATTTACATAGAAGGAAATAAAACTTTTTTGTTAATGTTTATTCTTGAGAGAGAAAGCATGAACAGGGGAGGGGCAGAGAGAGAGGGACACAGAATCTGAAGCAGGCTTCAAGCTCCAAACTGTCAGCAGAGAGCCCAACATGGGGCTTGAACCCATGAACTGTGAGATCATGACCTGAGCTGAAGTTGGACGCTTAACTGACTGAGCCACCCAGGCACCCCTAAAACCTTTTTGTTTTTAAGTGTATTTTGAGAGAGAGCATGCAAGTGAGCAAGGGAGGGGCAGAGAGAGAGAGAGGGAGAGAGAGAATCCCAAGCAGGTTCTATGGTGTTAGCACAGAGCCAGACACGGGGCTCAATCCCACAAACCAAGAGATCATGACCTAAGCTGCAACCAAGAGTCCGACGCTTAGCTTAACTTACTGAGCCACTCAGGCTGCCCGAAATAAAACTATTTAGATTTGAGTTTCTGCTTGAAAGAAAAGTCCTTAATACAATATTTGTGCTACTTTATTGATTCTATTTCTGCTTCCCAGGTGTTATATATGGCTTCAATGTGAATGCAGGCAATGTTATCCAGAAGTCTGCTACAAAAAAAGGAGTAAAAATTAAACTTCACAAAATCATTTACCGCCTAATTGAAGATTTGCAGGAAGAACTGAGCAGCAGATTGCCTTGCATTGTGGAAGAGCATCCAATTGGTGAGTGTTCACTGAATATTAAACATTCGTATCTTAGGTGCTGTGAAGAACACTTGAAAGCAAAGTTTAGGGGAATTATAGTTCACTGTTGAAATACCTTCACTGTTCCAATAAATGGCCTGTGTCCTAGAAAAAATGATATATTCAATGTAACTTCCTATGTATTATAAACCTGCCCTCTGCAGCCTATGCTTTGGCCCTGAGGATACAAAGGCAAGTTAGGCAGTAAGAACTTGCCCTAAGGTTTAGACATCAACTAATTATAACACAAATTAGACTGGGATGGGATGCATGAAGATTATATACAGTGTTCTGGAAGGAGCCACTGATTTTGTCCTGGAGTTGGCTGAGAAGTCCACCATGAGAATAGTTAATTTTACATTTAAATATCACATATTTAGAAATATTCTTTCTAGCATATCCCTTGGCCAGATGGAAGCCTAAATTTATTTGAGATGGACTGAATCGTTTTATCTGTTCTTATGGTCCAGAGATTTTTTAGGCTTTTGTGATCTGCTAAACATGACCATACAGAGATTTGTATGTTCTTGTGCTAAGGCACAATTTGGAAAACTTTTGAGTCATACAAGGGTTTCCATCAGCCAAATAACACTAACCCCAGTAAATCGGTATATTATAGTGTGTGATACCACGTCATTATTGGAATTTAATTTTCAGTGAACAAAATTAAGCTTTAAACTGAGTCACAGAATCAGTATTTAAGTGAATATAAATTATCAATGGGGAGATTAAAATTAGGTGATGACAGATGTTCTCTTCAAGAATAATATATTGAGGGACAGGTGAAAACTAGGTTTTCATAAAGCAGACAGTAAACTGTTATCTTCTAGTGCATTTTCAGCTAAAAAAGTGAATTTCTTTTTCCCTTGTTCATTTTTTTAGGCAAGCAGGTTCTTTTCCAGGAAAACCCAAGGATTTTCATGTTTATGTTTCTATGAGCAGTCAGAAAAATAAAGTTGGTAGAGTCAGAGAAAAACAGGATTTCAGTACATGAGTTTGTATTTTTCTCACACCTTTAATTCTTGCTCTGCAGAATATGTGAAATTATGTATTTCTCAGAATCTTTTGTTTTGTGTGCATCTAATGTTCTCTTCTTTCTAAAGGTGAGGCTTGTATACTAGCTACCTTCTCTGTAACAGAAGGGAAGAAAAAAGTTCCTGTGGCTGGCTGCAGAGTCCAAAAGGGTCAGTTAGAAAAACAGAAAAAATTTAAATTAATCCGTAATGGACATGTTATTTGGAAGGGTAAGCAAGATCACAATCTGTTTCTATAATATTAAATCCAGTCACCCAAACCTACTGATTCCATGTAACCACCTAAAATCTCACTCCCATATCCTGGTTCAGGCTGTTACCTTTTGTTAACTCAAACCTAGTCTGCAGGTGACAGGCTCCCTCCCTTACTAGTCCTGATGTCTCTTCCAGGATTTTTAGTCCTGCCTGGTAATCTATATAAACTGTAACAAGCCTGATAAATCAGTAATCTAGTTTCCTAAGCTTCTGAAAATTGGCCGCAAATTACCCTTCCAGCTGTCTCCTACCCCTGATCTACAGCATTGTACTTGGTTTACCTTGACCTTTTGCCTGCAATGTCTTTTATCCTGGATTATCTCATTCTTTAAATCTTGAGTACAATGCCATCCTCTGCAAAGTTAGTCTAACCTTTGAGATTTAGTTCTTTCCCTATAAGCCACATCTTGCTTACAGCAAACCATTTTTCTTTGGTTTCCCTAGTATTTAGTTCCATCATTTAACATGATAGGACTGTAAAATTTAGGACTTTCAGGGTAATTTTCCTTTTAACACCAGACTGTATAGCACTTAGCAGGTATAATTTGTTGAGTATACCTACCTTGTTTTTTTGTTTTTATATTTTAAGGCTCATTAACCTCATTGAAACACCATAAAGATGACATTTCAGTCATCAAAACTGGAATGGACTGTGGTCTCAGTTTGGATGAAGAAAAGGTAGAATTTAAAGTGGGAGATGAAATTGTTTGTTATGAAGAAAAAGAAGTTCCAGCTAAGACTTCTTGGAATCCAGGATTTTAAAATTACATTAAAAATGTAAACAATTAATGGGGTGCCTGGCTGGCTCAGTGGGTAGAGTTTGTGACTCTTGATCTCAGGGTCTGAAGTTTGAACCCTATGTTGGGTGCAGAGATTATTTTAAAAAATAAATTTAAAAACAAGTATCTTGCTTTATTATAGAACGACTAGTTATGCTTTAGTGAAGGGAAGAATTCACTTCTGGCCAAAAAATACCCAAGTAGCTATACCAGGTGTTAACATGGATAACTTGTCAAAATGCTACAGAGATAGGAAACGTTATTTAAGGATGCCTCCAAGTAGAAATCCTGTTAAGAATGGTATGACATGGTAAAAGGGAATTGTTCATTATCAGTGCCATTGAGTGTAGTAAGTCCGTTGCATGTTTTCGTTGAGTGGTATCAAAACAAGCAAAACTCCCTCAATTTAGCTTATGGGCAAAATATAGTGCCAAATATTGCTTAAAACTTTCTCAACATTAACAGTACTAGTGAACAAACAGTTTAAAGTTCTAAGATTTCACATTCAACATTCAATAAGAATGTTCCCATGTACTGTACACTGCAAATATACCAGCCAAACCACCCAGGGACTCAGGATAACTTAGCCTTTATATTTCTTATATATGAAACAAATATGTTGTAGTCTCTTTTTAAGGCAAGGTGTAACACCCATTCATACCAGAGTTTCTCAAGTCGGCGGGGGTGGGGGGAACGGACAGCCTCCACTCTACCATCCCAGGATCATTTGGCAGTGTTTGGATACACTTGGTGGAAACGGTGTGCTACCGGCATCAGGTGGGTAGAAAGAGGCCTAGGATGCACAACCCCCACAACAAAAATTTATCTGGTCCAAATGTTAACAGTGCCGATGTTAAAAATTAACAGAAATACAAACTGGCTTGTATCTAGACAGTTGATATTAAATACAACCTAATTCTGCCAAAGTATATGTAGTTTATCAAAGAAAATGGTGTGATCTTCAATTTGATACTTAAAAACCACTCTTTAAGTGACTAAAGAATTTCAACAATTCAATGTTAGTTCATGTCTTTTATTAACCCATATACAGTTACTTGTCTTCGGGTTTGTTGAAGCAGTAGGTCAGACAACATTTGCCACAATAATGTCTGTCAAAGTGGCTAGCCATAAAAACTCCAGCACCACATTCATCTGAAGGGCACTCCCGACGAAGGCGACTGATTTTGCCATTCTCATCCACCTAAAAAGTACAAACCTGCTGTTAAGGTAATTTTACAATGTATTCTGATGTCTAAGTTAAGGGACTCAAAATATTCAACCTCATTAAAGTTCACACACTCAGTACAGTTCAGTCTTCCAAGTGGTGGACAGATCTAAGACCTAAACCCAGATCTGACTTCAAAATCAGAACTTTAATTTGGAACAAGCAGCTTAAAGTGAAGCCCATCATATGAAGCTTGTTCAAACACCAAACAGGAACAAAGCTTTTAAAGAGTTTGATACCACAAAACAGATGAACATGGTGGGGGTGGGGGTGGGGGGGGGAAGGGAAGCAAACCGTAACTATAGCGAACCAAAAGGATTGATGGAGGGACACGGGTGGGAGATGGGCTAAATGGGTGATGGGCATTAAGGAGGGTACTTGTTTATGATCAACACTGGGTGTTATATGTAAGTGATGAATCACTAAATCCTATTCCTGAAACCAATATTACAAGTTAATTAATTAGAATTTAAATAAAACTTAAAAGAGTTTGAAACCAGAGGTGCAAACAAAATTTATTAATCTACAGATAGAAACTTATTCTAACTTGGCTCACCTTATAGTATTTCAGGACGGCCAATTTAACCTTCTTTCTCTTATGCTTATTCTTCTTGGGAGTCGTGTAAGACTTCTTCTTCCTTTTCTTAGCACCACCACGAAGTCTCAACACAAGATGAAGAGTGGACTCCTATTAATGAAAGAGTATGAAACAGGCTTTAAAATGAGTAATGTTCACATTCCATTAAGAAAGGGCAACTAGCATCATGCATCTTCTAACTGGATGGCTAAGAAGCACACAATACCAGAGAACAGGAAGTTGTGGAGGGAATATTAACTACTTGTTTATAGGGAGATCAAAGAACACATTGTATCACACCAGGAATGCAATCCACAAAATCCAGAATGTGAGAAACTATAACAGTGCTTGTGAAATGTTAATGCAGGGGTCACTAAGAACCTACTGCTAATCTAATGCTGTTCGCCCCCACTTTTGTGTGGTCAAAACTTACAAAATAAGATTTATATTTAAAGGACTGCTCTGTCCTCCAAACAGACCTTTTGAATGTTGTAGTCAGACAAAGTACGTCCATCTTCCAGTTGCTTGCCAGCAAAGATCAATCTCTGCTGATCAGGAGGAATTCCTAATAAAACAGTCAGTCACATCAGAAGAAGCATATCTGCTTAAGATTTATAAATAATCCTTAATCAAATAAAGGGTACTAATAGCAGTCACTATAAGCTAGGCATGGTTTTAAATGGTTGTAGAAGTTAACTCATTTAATCCTAATGACCATACGTGTTAATAGTAGTATCTTCATTTTACAGCTAAAGAAATGCATGTAGAGAATTAAATAGCTCGCCCAAATTCACACATGTGAAGTGCACCCCTTTTTGGCTCCATGCTCATAATATTATTCAAAAGCATTTGACTTTGTCATTTCGACCTCTTTCCATCCCACCCACAGCAGGTATGTCTAGTAAGTAGACCGGCGCCAGTACAGGTTAATTTCTCTGAAGTGGACAGTATTACTTGCCTTCCTTATCCTGAATCTTGGCCTTCACATTTTCTATTGTATCTGAAGGTTCGACCTAGGAATTTTAAAATGGAAATATATTGATAATATTAAGAAACTAAAATAAATGCCCAATTTAATTTTTTTAATGTTTATTTTTAGAAAAGAGAGCGCGATCGAGCGGGGGAGGGGCAGAGAGCTAGAGGGAGACACTGAGTCCAAAGCAGGCTGCAGGCAAAGCAGTCAGCAAAGAGCCCCATGCCGGAAGCTTAAGCGACTGAACCACCCAGACCACTTACCCAGTTCAACTTTAAAGTTACCCCCAAACCAAGCTGGTGGAGGGCGGAAGCCTACCCAACAGAGCTGACCACTTATCCAGGGTGCAAGCAAGCCCTGCCAGGTCCGTTGCTGGCGTGCACACTTCCTGAGCCCAGGGCAGGCGGGCGGCGGCGGCTGGGCCACACGTGTTCGCCCCCACCCGTGGGAGCGCCTCCTTCCCCCTCCGCAGGAGCCCGACTTTGACTACCTGGCCAGAACCACTGGAGAGGGAAGTGCCCACTCTTCAGTTATCTAAAGTCAGCCCTAGGCCCCTACTCAGCAAAGCCTCAACTCAGAGCCAGTCTTCTGAACCCAGACTTCTAAACATTCTGCTACAGAAAGCGGCACGCATCCCTAACTCCACTTCAGGCCCACATTCAGGCCTTGACTTCCTCACGCCACATGGCCATACCTCAAGAGTGATAGTCTTCCCCGTAAGGGTCTTCACGAAAATCTGCATCTTGGCGGCGGTTCCACCTGAGGTTGAGCCAAAAAAAAAAAAAAAAAAAAAAAAAAAAAAAAAGAAAAAAGAGAGAACTCAGACCTGGGGAAACAGAAGAGAGCGCCCGGTAGGCCGCTGGGCGGAGAGAGGCCCAGGAGCACACACTCACCGCAGATGGCGGATCGGAAAGGAAAGCTACGCGCCGGCCCACGGGGTTTCCCGGCGCCCCCGCCAGAGGTCCCACCTCGTAGGTGGCCACACCAAATGCCGTACTGCTGTCACGGCGACTGTCTAACAACATGCCAGACTAGGGCGCGAACCTCATTTCTCCTCTCTACCATGAACTTATTTCTCACTTTAACCCTCAGAATGCTGTCGAAATAGTAGATTTAAACAAATAACAATGGCTTTAAAAGGCTTTTGCCATACAAGCCACCAGGCTAGTAGGGTCTTAAAAAGGGGGTGGGGTTGAGGGGGCCTCATTGAGGAAAGGGGAGGAAAAGGAAGTGTCTTCTGGGAATTGTAGTTTTTTAGTTTGGACTACTTGTCCCAAGATGCAGCTCCACACCCCCGGTTCCCTAGTTACTGTCTCCAAGCGCTGGAGTCAGTGTTTGGAGAAAGGGATTAAGGTGAGAAGGGAGCAAGGCCCAGGGGGAGTAATGGTTTCGGGGAAGGTGGAAACGGGTCGGAAATGACTAGGAGGAAAGGTTAAGAGTCGGGAGAAGAAGGGATCGGGGAACGAAGGTACCGTTCACTTACATACAGAGCTGGTGAGGGGCGGAGGATAAGCAACCAGCCATCAGATGATTTGGCCTCCAGGAGAAGGGAATTCCTGTGGCCAGCTCCAGGCAGACCGAAAGATAGGTAGTATCTTAAAACCCTTGGGTTTATCTTTTTCTGTCCTGTAGCCCTTCCTCGTCTTCAATCCCCAATTCTGTCCTAGTTTGAGTAAGGTTCTGGGCATTGTGTAGGTGTAGGACTCCTAAGTGAGAAACAGTTTAACATGTTGAAAATCTCAGGAGTTTTCAACTTTTCAAATGAAGTCATGTGGGAAAGAACCTGCAGAATGATTATTTAGTTGTAGAATTTCCAGGTGGGGACATTTCGTTTGTGAAGGTACCAAGAGGAAGATTTTGGAGTATGTGTAGGGTTCTCTCCTAGTTCCGCGGACCAATGAGAAGCAAGTTACACCTTCCTCTGGCCTTTCTTCACTGTGCGAACCACGGAATCCTTTGTTAATGTACCTTCCCTAATGCCTTCTCTTTTTATCTTTCCATGCCTGTCTGCATCTCCATCCTCAACCTCAAATTCAGGCCGTCCTTATTATTCTCCTGGAAAAGTTAATCGAACTTTTTTCTTTTTTTTATTTTTTAATGGTTATTTATTTTTGAGAGAGAGCGAGAGAGAGCGTGCATGAGTGGAGGAGGGGCAGAGAGAGAGGGAGACACAAAGTCTGAAGCAGGTTCCAGGCTCTGAGCTGAGCTGTCAGCACAGAGCCCAAGTTGGGGCTCACACCCACGAACCATGAGATAATGACCTGAGCTGAAGTCGGACACCCAACTGACTGAGCCACCCAGGTGCCCCGAGTCAATCTAACTTCTAACCTACCTTCAGTCTTTCTCCTTTTCTAACCGACCCTCACTTTTGCCTCCAAAACATTCTAAAAAGTAAAGGTAATTATGTCATATTCTACTTCACCTTCAAGGATAAAATCCAAATTCTTCAATATGATATTCAGACTCTGCCTTCCTTATAGCCTAATCTATCACACCCATTACATACTTTACGCTTTAATGACTGAGCTAATTGAGGTACCTAACTTATGCTTTCTCATGCTTTGGCACTTCTAAAAAATCCATTTCTTTTTCTTAGAACATTCTTCGTCTCATATTCTGCCAGCTAGTCCCCATCTTTACAACAAAAGACCTTCAAAGAGTTTTCTATGCTCATTGTCTCCAGTTTTCCCCTTCCATTAAATGAATCTACTATCAAGCTTCTGTCTCTACCAAGCAATGGAATAGCTCTTGTGGTCACTAATCACCCCCATGTTGCTAAATTCACTGGTCATTTAATCTTATTTGATCAAATCAACATTTGACACAGTTGATTACTCCCTCCCTCTTTGAAATGTTTTTCCCCCTGACTTCCAGGATACGTCTCTCACTTCTCCTTCCCTTGACAGTCTTTTCCAGGCTTTTTTGTTGCTTCCTCTTGATCTACCAGACCTCTAAACTTTGGAGTGCTTCCAAGGCCCAGTCCTTGGACTTCTGCTTTGTTGACATTTCCTGGGTCATTTTCATTCTGTCTCATAACTTTTAAATACCATTTGTATGCACATGACTGATAAATTCCTATCTTATCATCACTAAGGCCGAAAACTTTATGGTCATCCTCGATTGTTCTCTCATATCCCCCTACCCTCATATGCACAGTGAATCTTCTTGGCTTTATTTTCAATGCACACAACACTTCTCACCACCTCTACTGTTACCACCCCGATTCACGCCACCCTTATCTTTTGCCCAGATCATTGCATAGCCTCCTAACAGTGCTTCCAGCTTTGACCCTTGTCTTCACAGAGCAGCAGGAAATGTATGTATGTCAGATGTCACTCTTCTGCTCACAGCCCTCCAGTGGCTTCCCATCTCATTCAGAGTTAAGAATAAATTCCTATAAGTGAGGTTGTTGCTCCAGCCCTGGAACCACAAGGCCATGATCCAGCTCATTGTTCCTCTTGCCAAGTCTGCCTAGTGAAAGTGGCACCTTTTTCTAACCTGCACAAAGGTGCCGCATGGGCTGGGAGTGGTCCTGCCTTCGAGGGCTTCTATTTTACGTGATCTGGCAGCTACCTCTCTGACCTTATCTTTTCTCTCCCTTTCCCATTCTCTCCTAGCCCTGCTGGCCTTCTTGCTGTTTGTCACACATGCTGTCCTGCTTTGAAGATTTGGGCTTGCTGCTCTGTATGCATCAACCACTCTTCTCAGGAATCTTCACACTACTTTTTTCAGATTTCTAAAATGTGACCTTACCAGTGAGGGCTTTCCTCTTTCCCAACTTAATGCCTTGTATAAAGTAGCATCCTCCCACCTTCCTTTCTAGTTCCCATTCCTTGTTTTATTTATTTATTTATACAACTGTTTACTCCCATGTGTCATCTGTATTTTGTGTGTTGTCTGTCTCTCGGTTTGAATGTAACCTCCAGGAGGTTAGAGACTATTTTGTTTGATGCTGTATCTCTAATGTCTAGAATAGTGGCAGACACAGTAGGTGACCCCCCCCCACCCCGCCCAAACATTTATTGAATAAATACATGCAGCCCAACATAAACATTGCACTTGGGACGATTCCATTAGGTATTTTACCTGATGTTTCCCTGCCCTCTCCCACAGACTAGTGAGGTATCTCTCAGGCTTTTGGAGTGCAATGTGTCCACCTCTGTCACAATGCCCTCTCTGCTCTGTAGCAATGGCTCATTTAACTAGACCCAATAGGTTTGACTGGGAACATTTGTCACTCGTTTTCTCTGTATCCTTATGTGTCTAACATGAATGAATGAGTGAAAGGTAATCTGAGTTGTTTTATGTGGCTCTGGGGCATTTTGTACATGCTGAGGAACAGTCACTTTAGCCGTGTTCTGGTTTGAGAGCACCACAAGTCATGTCTTCTGAGCAGACCAGATTATTGCTCAGTAATTATTGATTATTAAGCATGTTTTTAGTACATATTCTACTAGAAACTACTATGTACTGGAATGCTTATAGGTAGGGAAGGATATTGGGAAATATGAACATTTTGGTTCCTGCCTACTGGTAGAGATAGAGAATGTAAACAGAAAGTTTCTCTTACAGAGTGGCTAAGTGATAATACCATGATAGAGCAAGTTCACAGTATTATGGGAGAATATACAACTTGACCAAGTTTAAGGGAATTCAGGGCAGCTTTCCTAGAGCTGTGTAAACTGAAATCTGAAAAATGAGTAAAGGCAAGTGAATGAGAGTGGTAGTACGAGTGTATCTTGGTGGGGACAGGGCGTGGTAAGGATGGAGAGAGGGAATACAGAAATGGGTAGAGAATTACATGAGACCCTCAGGTAAGAGAGCAAGTGCATGGGACTTGGGAAGAGTTAGGCATTTTTGAGCAAGCTATGGATTCTGTTTGATGTTAATGTGAACAGTTTTCAGGAACCAACTTCTGTATCTAACTCTAACTGGATAATGATTCTTTATTTTATTTTTTAATGTTTATTTTTGAGAGAGAGAAACAGAGTGCAAGCAGAGAAGGGGCAAGGAGGGGGAAGACACAGAATCCGAAGCAGGCTTCAGGCTCTAGGCTGTCAGCACAGAACCTGAGGCAGGGCTCAAAGCCACGAACTGTAAGCTCATGACCTGAGCCAAAGTCGGATGCCTAACCAACTGAGCCACCCAGGCGCCCCTTGATTCTTTACTAAAAGAGCAATGGAATGTGGCTGCTTGAAACTGTACTCAGAAAAAGACTGTTTGTTATCTTCAGTATCATTGATGGATGGATTTTAGCAGAAGGTCTGACTTCGTACTTTTAGTTAGTACATTTATATTAAAGATAGAATTATAATAAAGTTTATTATAAAATAAAGTCATGAGTTATTTGTAGCTATCATGACCATGCCTGGGCCAACTAAGCACACAGGTAAAGTATTTGACCTTGTTTGTATCACGAGGAGGCTTCCAAATTAGTTTTCCCATGTGAAACAAACAAAATGGTAAAAGTTCTGTTAGAGATATTAAATTAAACATACAGAATCATCCAATTACATGATACGGAGGCTTGGTTACTAAGAAAAGAGCTCTTTATTGACTGGTGTTTGGTATTTCTACCCTAGAGGTATAGCTCTTGACAGTAAAAAAGATTAGACTTTTTAATTCATAGGTTGAAATATTTATCTCAGAGTTTCATGGGAAGTTTTTTCCCATGAAAAATACATTTTTAGGCCAGATTTAATTTTTTATAAATTTATTAGAAATGACTTAATTTATTTTAATAAACAAATATTAATTTTATTTTAAGCTTCAGATTAATTGTTGGTCTTTTTTTCTTTCAGGCTTATCAAAGTTTTGGCTTTGTTGCAAAAGCCGGTCGAGGCTTAACTGTTCTCTGGTGAACCAGTGTGCAGATTGTGACATATGTCGGTCCAAGAAATAAATAAACATGCAGTTCTCCCTCCTATCATTAGTAGAAGTGACAAGGAATTTTTGGAAAGTATGCAAAGATACATAATTACAGAAACTGAAAGAGTGGGCTGTAATGAGGAAGGACCTGCTGATGAATATTACATCATATACCGAAATGTTTTTGATAAGGTATCATAATGCTATTTTAAGATTATGGAGTTTTCTTGTGGTAGAAATGGTCTGTCTTGACAACTGAGGCAGTATTCCTGCCTTAGTAACATCACTGATTGTTTGATTAAACTTCATTTGTCAATCTTGAGAAGTTCATCCAGTGTATTGGAAAGGGATTAATGGGGAAAGTACAGTGCTGGATTTCTATCATAGATAGTTATCGAGTGGTTTGATTGTTTTAGCTTAAGTGCAGGCTATCAGTGTTTGAACAATAATTTAGTGGTACCTTCTAACATCATTTTGGCCTTCTATCTGAAAATATCTTACTTGTTAGGAATTGGGCTGCAAGGCAGGAACCTGGTGGTGTTTTGGGTTTCTGATATCGCTAGAGTCTTGGCTTAGATTTGATCTAGCATATTAAATTGGAACCCCTTGTGAGTTAGAGGTCTAGATAGGTCCAGTAAACAAGAGGTTTGACTGGACTCAACACTGGAAATACAGAGATGAGTTTAGAAAATGTTATGGCTTTATATAACATTTGATTCGCACACTCTCAAAAATGAATAAATGTTTTTTAAAAATAGAATTCACGCAGATACATAAGAGTATAAACAGTCTTCTTTTTAAGTTTATTTATTTATTTTGAGAGAGCGAATCCCAAGCAGGCTGTGTACTGTCGTTGCAGAGACCAACTTGGGTCCTGAACCCAGGAATTGTGAGATTGTGACCTGAGCTGAAAACAAGAGTCCGATACTTAACTGACTGACACGGCCAGGCACCCCAGAAGCAATCTTTTCTTTCTTTAAAAAAATTTTTTTAACATTTATTTACTGTTGAGAGAGAGAGAGAGAGAGAGAGCTCACATGAGCAACGGCTTGTGTGTGCGAGCTGGGGAGGGGCAGAGAGAAGGGGAACAGAGGATCCCAAGCGGGCTCTGCACTGACAGCAGTGAGCCTGTTGTTGGGTTTGAACTCACAAACTGTGAGATCGTGACCTGAGCTGAAGTCAGAAGCTTAACCACCTGAGCCACCAGGCATTCCAGAAACAAGTCTTTTCTTTTAAGTCATCTAGAAAAATTATCTTTCAGAATTGGTACATTGGCAAATTAACTTCATTTTGTATGTTATGATCAATGATACTGCTTTTGGTTTTTGAGTCATTAAGGAATGTATTGGATAAATGTTTAAAAGTAGTGTTTTGAATGGGTTTCGTAAATATCAAGAATCATACTAAGACTCTACTTATCTGAAATCAGAGGAGAGTTATAACTGTGACATGTTTATCTTTGCATGCCCAAATGCTGGCACTTGTCAGAAGGTTTCTTCTTCTTTTTTAATTAAAATGTTTTAATGTTAATTTATTTTTGAGAGAGATAGTGTGAGTGGGGCAGAGAGAGAGGGGGACATAGGACCTGCAGAGGGCTCTGCTAATTTGTCAGAAGTTTTCATACATGAAGAATTGTCTGCTTTAAATTAGCATGGTTCTAGTGAAGTCATTCTGGAGGTGGTGTTGATAAATTTAATTCTTAGAGAAAAGACATGAGATTATATAAAAGGTAATAGACTACATCTATAGTCCTGTTTTCCCTAGCCTTTTCAGTGTTCCTCTGAAATCTGTGTTTTCTAGCAAGATTTCCATGTGGACTATCTGTCCATTGTACAGTTATCAATGATACATTTGTGCCTTGTAAAGAATCCTATTCTTCAGGACTGAGAGGGTATCTGAAATAGAAATTATTTGGTGCTTAAAGAAACTTTTCTTCTGCTTTCTCTAGATAATCTGTTTTTCCATTTTCATGTTATTCCAGCATATTTGATTGTTAATTAACTATTAATGACTGCCTTCTCTAATCTTCCTTCCCTCTTGGAAGGATCTAATTGGGAAAAGATGAAAGTATTAACTTGCATCTCTGAATACTTGGAATCAGAGAACTGATACGAAATTCTGCTTAAAATCACAGAGGATTTGACCTGGAGAACTGTGCCTGAATCAAAACAAGGAGCACCTGAGATTCTATTCTGATAATAAGAATTGAGTGTGGGTTTAGAGAGAGGCAAAGACTCAGTAAGCAAGGAAGACCAAAGCTAGGAGGAGTGAGCTTCTACAGAAATGGTGAATTATGGAGGCAACTTGCTCTGGAAAGTGGCTAGCTTTTGTGTCTCTGGAAGCACGTACATATAGTCTGTGTTCATCAGTAGGGGCTGAGGTGGAATGGCTGCCATTCCTCTTCTCCCTCAGATCTCTGTACTTGGTAAGTATAGCTCTGGCTTCTTGAGTTTAATGCAAATTTGAGTGTCAAACTTAAATGATTAGAGGCCAATAGGCCATATAAAAGAGTTACGTGGGTTGGCTATAAGAGAAGAAATCACGAGGACTCTGGTAAAATGAACAAATTCAATTGAAAGCTCCAGCTCATTATTGCCGTTAAGGAATGGTGGTTCTTGTTGGTAGATGTTTCAGAATTTTCAAGAGAAGCTAGAAATACAGTTTTTGGTGAAATTTCCTACATTTAAAAATACTCTGTGACAGGGGCGCCTGGGTGGCGCAGTCGGTTAAGCGTCCGACTTCAGCCAGGTCACGATCTCGCGGTCCGTGAGTTCGAGCCCCGCGTCAGGCTCTGGCTGATGGCTCGGAGCCTGGAGCCTGTTTCCAATTCTGTGTCTCCCTCTCTCTGCCCCTCCCCCATTCATGCTCTGTCTCTCTCTGTCCCAAAAATAAATAAACGTTGAAAAAAAAAATACTCTGTGAGTCAAGCAAAACTGGATTCTACCTGTAGCATGCCAGTGTGCTTCCTTTACTTTTATGCGTTTTCTATGCATTCTTAAAGGTTCCCATGAGTGTTCCTCTGAAATCTGTGTCTTTTAGCAACAGATGCGGGAGCTGATTGTAGTGTCACAACGTCTGTTTTCTTACCATTAATGTATCTTAGTTATATTGGATTGTTGTGGTGTGTCCTAGAGGCATGGGAAGTGGAGGATGGCCAGGAACAGGAGGGTATTTAATTTGGAAGACTACAGACTAATGCCCTCTGTCTTATTAAAGGTTCCTGGGTAGCTGCCCTCCTGATTTGAATAGCTGGGGAATATGGTAAAGTATGTCAAAAATATGGTAAATATGTCAAAAAGACAATCAGGGGGTGCCTGCATGGCTTACTTGGTTAGGCATCTGACTTTGGCTCAGGTCATGATCTCGTCATTCCTGAGTTTGAGCCCTGAATTGGGCTCTGTGCTAACAGCTCAGAGCCTGGAGCCTGCTTCAGATTCTGTGTCTCCCTCTCTCTCTCTGCTCCTCCCCACTCACACTCTGTCTCTGTCTTTCTCACAAATAAATAAACATTAAAAAAAAAAAAAAAGACAACCAGTATTTCCCATTCACATATCCTCTCCTGGTATTTACCATTGATCAGTAATCTCCTTACACTATTTCTTGATAGACCAGATATCTTGTAGACCAGATAATATTTTCTAGATATTGTTTAACAGAAAACCAATGGAGGATAACAGGGACTAGAGATGTAGCAGGGATAGATAGCATTATTATAGCTTTCAGAGAAAATTGTGAATTGATCACATCTATTCCCTGTACATAGAATTTGTAAACCATAAATTTATAACTTTTTTTGTTTTTTAACTTTCTTAAAATGTTTCTTAATTATTTACTTTTGCATGGGTAATGCATACACAAGATTAACAGAAAGAAAAAGAAAGAAACAAAGAAACACGGAAAGAAAGGAAAAGAACTAGAAAACCAGTAAAGAATAGACAATGGAAAGAAGTCAGGTCCTTTTCATCTCAGACCCTGCTTCTTCTTTGCTTCTTTGCAGGCACCCACTGTTTCTATTTTCTTTTGTTATCCTTCTTGAGATAGTCTGTACCTGTATACACCATAGGAAACCATGAATGTGTAGTGGGTTTTGGTACCATTTGGTAATGGAGAGTATTAGTAGGAGCTCATAGGTTAGAAAAACAGAGAGGTAAAGGGAATCCAAGATTTTAAGGTCTGAATGAAGTCAGAAACTAAATTTAGAAATAGTAAGAGATGATAGGTAGTTATATTTAAAATATCTATAATTGAAATAATTAGATCTCATATTGGTTTTAACTGACCTCATATAATGTTCGTGTTCATATTAAGTAAAGCAAAAATATTTAAGCTCACAGTATTATGATTCACAAAAACATATTCAGTAAATGTTAATTGTCTTTAATACTCAGTCACATTTGACTAGGAATTAAAGTTTAAGACTTCTAATTGCTCATCATGTTTTATTTAAGAAATAATCTACAATGCTGTTTGCAAGGCTTTTTGTTCCATCATTTCTAGAAAAAAATTGAGTACCATAGGCAGAAAAATCATATTTCAGGTAATAGAGTATGTCACTGCATACAAATCCATTCTTACTTCAATCAAAAAAGAATATGATGCCTTTATTGAGACAATAAAGGAAAGCCAAAAGACTGCATTTTGTCTTCATGGAAAACTTAAAGCTTTGGCAGCAGAGCCCATAGCATTGGTATATCACAGGAAAAGAACAATCCAACTTGAAGCAAAGTAAGTATATTAGTAAATAGCCCAAAAGATGATGTTACTTGGTTATGTTAACTAGTCACTGTAACTAAAACCAGTGGTTCTCAGTCTTTGTGAATTTCTATTTAATTTTATTTGTTTTAAACAGATTTGGGTTTTTTTGGATATGGTTTTATTTATTTATTTATTTTAATGTTTATCCATTTGAGAGCGAGAGTGCAAGTGGGAGAGGGGCAGAGAGAGAGAGACAAAGAATATGAAGCAAGCTCCACTGTCTGAGCTGTCACCATAGATCCGGACTCAGGGCTTGAACCCACGAACCATAGAATCATGACCTGAGCTGAAGTCGGATGTTTAACCTACTGAGCCACCCAGGCACCCCTCAATTTTATTTTAAAGCTATATTTTTATGTAACCTTTCCTACCAACTTGAAATAACTAAATTTTTTACTTCTTTCAAGTGAAAAATAATAATTTTATTGGAGAATTTTTTAATATCTCTTAGGATAATTGGAGGCACATTGTAGTATTATAAAATGAAGGGTGTGGATAATTGCTCCAGGTAATTTCTTATGTCGAAGATTTGATAGTACAATTTCACGATTACTGTCGGAATTAGAGCACTTAATCCTCTGAAGCACAACAGTACGTAATTTGGGAAGGGATAAGATGCTCTCTTGTTGAGTAGTGTTATATTTTCAAGTGTTCCGTTTGGTTAATAATGGGTACATGATTTTTATAGATTATATCAAATTATCTTGGAAAACTATGCAAAATTTGACTTCCATTTCTGGTAATAAAGTTGGCTAGATGTTGAGATAGATCTTTTTATTTGGGAAAAATGCTACCTAAAATATTTTTAAAAAATCTTTTTTTTTTTTGAAAAAAAATTTTTTTCCAACATTTTTTATTTATTTTTGGGACAGAGAGAGACAGAGCATGAACGGGGGAGGGGCAGAGAGAGAGGGAGACACAGAATCGGAAACAGGCTCCAGGCTCTGAGCCATCAGCCCAGAGCCTGATGCGGGGCTCGAACTCACGAACCGCGAGATCGTGACCTGGCTGAAGTCGGAAGCTTAACCGACTGCGCCACCCAGGCGCCCCAAAATCTTTTTAAAAGTAAACAGGAAGCTGGCAAATGAGAGATTATCAGCGCGAAATTGTAATAAAAGGTAAGAGGAGCAGTAATGCTTCTTTGGCCCTGAGAACCCTTGTTAAAACTAGTGACTATAAGCTTCAGGGGGACAAAAGACAAAGCCTAGGATCTACCCAAGGGTCCAGTCTACTGGGAAATCCTCATCATATAAAGCTGGGTCATTACAGGGCTATACGCTTGTAGAGTGAACCAGAAGCAAACTGCTCAACCCTTGGGGATTGCATAGAAAGTTGCCTTCTGTTCAGCAGAATGCTAATGAATGTGGGTCTTATTTTTAGGGTGATGAAATATTCTGGATCCAGAAGTCATAGTCTTAGAACTCTGAATATACTAAAATTCACTGAGTTGTATACAAGGGTGGATTTAAGGTATATGAATGATATTCAATATAGCTATTATTAAAAAAGGAGGATCCATCCATGGAGGATGGAGTGAGAAAGTCCTGGCTAATCAGAATGCAGAAGAGGGGCACCTGGGTGGCTCAGTCAGTTGAACATCCGTCTTGGGCTCAGGTCACAATCTTGCAGTCTGTGAGTTCAAGCCCTACGTCAGGCTCTGTGCTGAGACCTCAGAGCCTGGAGCCTCTTTCCGATTCTGTCTCTCTCTCTCTCTCTGCCTCTCCCCCACTCATGCTCTGTCTCTTAATGCCTCAAAAATAAAGATAAACATTAAAAAAAAAAATCAGAAGAGAATGCTTGTGATGAGCACTGAGTGATGTATGGAATTGTTGAATCACTATATTGTACATCTGTGACCAAATAACACTATGTTAACTATAATGGATTAAAGTAAAAAAAAAAAAAAAAGGAATAATGGGACAATGTTGAAGAGATAATGGCTGAAAATTTTCAAGACCTGGTGGGAGATAGCAATTCACAGATTCAAGAAGCCTCCAAAATTCCAAGCATTATAAATAATAAGAGATTCTCAACTAGATTTATCACAGTGAAACTGTCAAAGATAAAAAGATCCTAAAAGTAGTTATAGAAAGGAGCAACAATTAGATAACTTTGCATTAGTGTTATAACATATATTAGAATTTCATTCCTTTTTATGGCTGAATAGTATTCCATTGTATGAATATACCATATTTTGTTTATTTGTTGATGGATACTTGGGTTGTTTCTACCTCTGTCTATTGTGAACAATGCCTCTGAACATTTATGTACAAGTATCTGGGTCCCTGCTTTCAATTCTTTTGGAAGTCTGTTACCTTTTAATATGCTCTTCTTCCACAAGCTTAACTTTATTGGATGAAAGCCAAAGGATGTTTTATTTCTACAGTCCCTCTTTCATAAATGCTGCAGGCTCTTACTCAGCCATCTGTAGTCACCAGGAATTCTGTATAGTAATCAGATGTAGGCAGCAGTTTTGTACTGACAAATGTGTTTTTAATTTGCCAAAACCTCTGACATTTATGTATCTAACTTATTTTAATCTGTTATTTCTTCCCTGGGCCAACATATCAGTGATAAGATAGGCAGTGAACTTCAAATAATGCTTAAAAGAAATTTATATCTACCTCTTGGTCTTTAAGATCCCCATTTCTGGAATAAGTCAGTTTTATCTCAAAGAAGTAACTATCGTTCCTCCTGCTCTAGGATCAAAATTACTATAGGAGGCTGAATAATTGCCTTAAAGATATCAGGTCCTAATCCTGAGAACCTGGAAGTGTACTTTATTTGGAAAAAGGGTCTTTACAGATGTTATTACATTAAGGATCTTGAGATAGGGAGATTATCCTGGATTATCCAGGTGGACCCTAAATACAATCACAAGTGTTCTTATAAAAGAGAGGCAGAAGGAGTGTTGACAGGCAGAAGGGGAGAAGGCAGCATGACCACTAAGGCAGAGATTGAAGTGATGTAGCCATGGAAGGCCAGCAGCCCCCAGAAGTTGGAAGAGGCAAGGAACAGATTCTTCCCTAGAGCTTCTAGAGGAAGTGTAGCCCTTTGATTTTGGCCCAGTGTTGCTAATTTTGGATTTCTGATCTCTGGAACTGTGAGAGAATAAATTTCTGTTGTTTTAAGCTACCAATAAGTTTTTTGGCAATTTGTTATAGCAGCCACAGGAAACTAATACAATTACAAAAATAATTTTAATTGCAAAGGTAATTTTCAACTATTGGAAGTAGACATAGTACTTTGTGGCCAGATTATTATGTTTTACACATACAAATTTCCAGTGAGGTTGTGAATCATAGTGTAAGATTTTATTGATGCTCTGAAAGAAAACTGTTCCTCACTAGTGAGGTTAATTAACTTTTTACGGGCGTTGTTGTTGTTTTTTTTTTTTTTTTAATTTTTTAAATGTTTGTTTATTTTTTGAGAGAGAGAGAGAGCTTGAGCAGGGAAGGGGCAGAGAGAGAGGGAGACACAGAAACCAAAGCAGTCTCCAGGCTCTGAGCTGTCAGCCCAGAGCCTGGCCTGGGGCTCAGACTCATGAGCCATGAGATCATGACCTGAGCCGAAGTCAGAAACTTAACCAACTGAGTCACCCAGGCGCCCCATTTATGGGCATTGTTTTATAAACCTCCACCTAAGTCCATAATGGTTTAAAATTATAATTAGCCAAAATAATGATTTAACCTGTTTTACTTTAAATCTTATGATTATGTAACTAAATTCATTGAGAGAAATATAAGAAAGCCTTTCTGTTTTTCAGAATGAGGGTTATTGAAAATAATTCCTCACAAATTCAATTGCAAATAGACCAAATGAAGCAACTTAGGGCAGAGTATGACGCAAAAGAAGTAAAATATCATACTTTCTCCAAAGATCCTTCAAAACCTATTCCAGGTACTGTATTTTGTTTAAAATATTTAAAATTCCAACTGTTTTCAGTTATTACCTATTACACAAATTAGTATATATGTGCTGCAGTGTGTATATCTTGAAGTGTACCAGGACTTGAGCCAGACTTTACAAACAGCTTTAGACAGGACTCCAGGTTGATTGACATTGATGTCAATATTCACTGGTTCTTCATCTTCGGCTAAGTCACATTTTAAGAAACTTTGGAGTATATCCTGGAATTCATCAGGAGTTGAGAAGTTTTTATGATGAATGGATAGAAGAATTGCAAATATTCATCCTGAAGAAAAGGACGACTTTGAGAATAGATAACTGTATTAAAAACTTTTAAGGGTTTCAACCAGTGTTTATCCAGAGGCAGAGTCCATAGGTGGAAATTTTAGGAAGTCACTTTGGTTTCAGTAGAAGAAGCTATGTCTTGAAGACAATGAGCTGCTCCATAACACAGCATTTCACCTGAGTTTGGTTGATCATCCTGTGTTTGGTGGAAGCAGGGACTAGATTCACTTCAAATATAAAATTATGATTATCAAACTACAAATAAGGTACATATGAATAAGGAGAGAATAAGTCAAATTGATTAAATGCTGAGAGGATTCAGGGTAAGGGAATGATTAAAAATCGAGTAGCATTAATCCAGGAGAGTTTCTGGGAGAGAATTTTGAGGTATGCCTTTTAAAGGCAACAATTGGGGGCACCTGGGTAGCTCAGTCAGTTAAGCATCCGACTCTTGATTTAAGCTAGGGTTGGAATCTCACAGTTCATGAGTTCGACCCCCAAGTTAGGCTCTGCACTGACAGCTCAGAACCTGCTTGGGACTCTCTCTCTCCCTCTCCCTTTCCCCACCCCCTCAAAAATAAACATTAAAAAAATAATAATAATAAAGGTAACAATTGGCCTGAATAAGAGAATCATTTTAAGTATGTGTGAGTGGGTTGTTAAGAATAATGAATACAGGGGGCAATGAGGAAGAGAGGAGTGAAGGTTTAGCAGATGTTATAAGCTTTGCATTGGAAAGAATAAACATTACCCTGGGGCTTACTATAGTAGATGAATGAAAGATTTGGCTAGAGAGAAATCTTCGGACAAAAATCCTGATTCGTTAGGCAGAAACTCTTAGTGCTATTGAGTCGCATTGATATTTAAGAGGTTTGCAAGGTGTGTCAATGAGGTCATTAAAACTTTTTAAGATACTCAGGTTTGGACAATCAGTCTTCATTCATGATATGTTTAAAACTGCTACACATTTAAAATTGTATGCTAATTCTGTTTATGTTCTGTAAGTTATAAGTTCATGCTATCATTTTTAAATTATTTCATAACATAGTAAACTGATTTATTTTGCTAAAACTTGCTGTTTGAGCACTAGTTACCCCGCATGGTTTGGCTTGTTTGATTTGTTCCCTTTTCCCTAGGCATGACTTTCCAAGAATCCGTCAGTTTAGATGCTCTCACTAAATACCTGAAACATCTTGAAGATAAATATGCCGAAATTAAACAGGTTATGTTGAAAAAATATGTACCAGTTCAGAGGAAGGCAGATTTAGATGAGGAAATGATGGTGACATTAAAACGGAGAGATTTAGCTGAAAATTTAAACAAAGAATTACAGTTTCGGTATGAAGATTGCTTGTATATTTTTTAAGTTTGAAGCTTTTATTTATGTTTATTCTAATATTGTATTTGATTTTAGGTTCAGTGTATTGTTGATTTTTTTTTCTTTGTAGTCATCAAAGACTGCAGATTATTTCAAATGCACTTACTTCATGGGTAAAATCTGATATGAGCAGCTCATTTCAAGATTTCGTGGAGCAAATTCAGAAAACTAAAGATTTACATGGTAATTTATCTGTATTTTTTAATTACCAAAAATAATGAAAAACATCATCTTTTCCCCCAGAAAGCTAAAGAGTGATGACTTTTCTAGGCTAAGTTTAAAGAAATAAAAAATGTACTTACTTCTGTTAGCTCTCTGTTACCCTATGGGCTTCTTCCTTCAACAGCTAACACATAATTGGTAAATGGAGGATGTGGTAAGCCAAAGGGAGAAAGCTAAAAATATACCTGATAATAAAGGAGAGAGGGACAGGGAGGCCACTCATTTAAGAAGAGGTTGGTGCTGGGGACACCTGGGTGGCTTAGTCGGTTAAATGTCTGACTTCAGCTCAGGTCATGATCTCATGGTTTGTGGGTTTGAGCCTGGCATCAGGCTTTGTGCTGACAGCTGGGAGCCTGGAACCTGCTTCGGATTCTATGTCTCCCTCTCTCTCTGCCCCTTCCTTGCTCACACTCTGTGTCTCTCTCTCCAAAAATAAATAAACATTAAAAAATTAAAAAAAAAAAAAGAGGTTGGTGTTATTGGGGCACCTGGGTGGCTCAGTCAGTTAATAGTCTGACTTAGGGCGCCTGAGTGGCTCAGTTGGTTGAGCGTCCAACTTTGGCTCAGGTCATGATCTCACAGTTCTTGAGTTCCATCCCTGAATTGGGCTCTGTGCTGACAGCTCAGAGCCTTGAGCCTGCTTCAGATTCCGTGTCTCCCTCTCTATCTGCTCCCCCCCTCCCCCACACTATGTCTCTCTGTCTCTAAAAAATGAATAAACGTTTAAAAAAATAAAAATAAATAAGTGAACATTAAATTAAATAGTCTGACTTGATTTCAGCTCAGATCACGATCTCATGGTTTGTGAGTTTGAGTCCACCTTGGGCTCCACGCTGATGGTGCTGAGCCTGCTTGGCATTCCCTCTCTCCCCCTGTCTCTGCCCCTCCCTCTCTTTCTCTCTCTCAAAAATAAATAAACTTTAAGAAAAATACCCCAAAAGATGAGTTAATTAGAAAAAGAAAAAGAGGTTGGTGCTGTTAGAAACCATAGCATTAAGTTGCTGACATTTTCTATTGATTGATCTTAAATATTCTGTGGTACTTTCAATATTTACAGGTGACCAAGGCATTATTGAGGAACTGCTTGAAGATGATCCAGGCAAGGCAAAAGAAGCTGAAATTTTGCTTTCCTACATTGAAAGGCAAATATTAAATAAATAAATAATTTTAAAAATATTTATTTAAGTAATCTCTACATCCAACATGGGGCTTGAACTCACGACCCAAGATCAAGAGTTGTATGCTCTTCTAAATGAGCCACTCAGGTGCCCTATGAAAGACAAATTATTTTAAAAGCTTTGGTTTTCCTTGTGAAAATGTTATCACGTTTATGTAATATTTATTTATTTATTAAGTAAATACTTAATATTTATTAAATGTATAGCACTTATTTAGCATCTTGATGAGTTATAGTCTCTAGATTTTGTATTTTTACAGTTTTACTCTACTAAACAAATTAGAAAATAAACTAGAATTTAAAAAATTCTTTATGTAAAAAATATTAGGTTGGTAGTCTAGGAAATTTTTCAGAGGATATAGGTGACTTGAGTGTTGATTTAAATTTTATGTATACTGTATTTTTTTTTTTGCATTTCCTAACAATCAGTCTGATGTTACAAAAATTTTTTGAGAATGTCTTCTTGAGTCAGATTATCCTAACCAATTTAGTCATTTTTTTCCCTCATCATTTCCATCCTATGATGTTTTAAAAAGGTATATTTCTCCCTCATACTTAAGTTATTATATAGTGCATAATAGAGGCTTAAGGAGATCTAAGACTTTATTCTTTAAGAGGTTAATTCATAGCCTGTGAGGCCAGTATGTAAGGAACATATGTAATATTCCTAGTTTCATAGGTTAAATAATTTTTAATTGTTCTATTGATGTGGTACAAAGAAGGGGCAAAGATCATTTTGGGACAGCACCAAAGCCTGTTTTATTTCCTTACACTGTATGCTTCTTCAAGTCTACCAGCTTTAGACATGAGGGAAGAAACTTTATTGAGGCTAAAAGTTTTACGTATTTTGCTCATTAGTATTACTTTGGTCTTTCTCCTCTAGGGTTTCAGATTCATTTGCAACACTGTAAATCCTGTTTGCCATAGTTTTGTTAATTGTGGGGTAAGGATTGGTTTGAAGACATTTTACCCTAGGAAGAGGAGTAGAGGCTTAAGTTATCTGAACTATTATTTTTTCTTCTTGTGTTAGTCTCATATTTCATTGGGAGTCTGATTCGTGGCAGAGCAACATAAGCTTCACCTCTTGATCTCCAGTTCTGCAGCTACTGTGTTTCAGTTACTATTTCCCCTACGTTGAGTCTCTAAGCAGATTGCCCTTCTTTTCCCAATATCTCTTCGTCTAGAGACAACACGAGAGAAAAAAATCTGAGCCCATTGTAAATTCAGTTCAAGTTTTTTCCTTTTTCTGTGTCTTGCAATAAGTACTATAGGAATAAAGTACAGGGTAAGGTTCAAAGGCTGTAAAAAATGACAGAATATTACAGAAAGAAGTGAAAGGGCATCTTTCAGAATGAATGAACGTAGTTATAGTTTTTCTATATTACTGTGTTTAGTCTGTTATAGATATTTCTAATCATTTTTTTGTGTGTAGTATTTATTATAATATATAACAAAATTCAATGGTTGTAGGTTCAATGAATTAATGTTGCTTGGTGAATATGAAAAGGCAGCTTGTTTTGCAGCACACAGTCCTAGAAGAATTCTTCAAAACATTGGGACAGTGAATAAATTTAAGGGTAAGCACTTTTCTTTGAACCTTATGTATGTATGCAAATTGCATTTTTTTACCCTGATAGAATGGAAAGAGTATTGAAGTGGGGACTAAAGAGCTAGGCTTCCAGCCCTATCTCTTCCATTTACTCAGTTTTTTTTAGCTGTCACATTGAAGAATATGATTAGTTTTTCTAAATTAAATGAGGAAATATTTCAAGTATACAGAAAAGTATGAAGGAATATACAACAGCCATGTACTCACTACCAAGATTTAGTAAATGTTAATATTTTGTCAAATTTGCTCTAATTCCTAAGACAGCTTTGTTGTTATAAATTGACATATACACAACACATTGTACATATTTATAGTACACAATTTGATAAGTTTTGACATTTGTATCCCCCAAAAGTTCCCTCATTGCTCTCAGCTATCCCTCTCTCTGATTCATCCTCACCCCTCCCATCTCCTTCTATCTGGCCACTTCCCCTTAGTGGCAACTGTTAGTCTGCTTTCAGTCACTGTAGATTAATTTGCATTTCCTAGAATTTTATATAAATGGAATTACAATAGTATTTGATCTTTTTGACTGACTTCGTACATTCAGCATTATTATTTTGAAATTCATCCATGTGTTGTGTCTATCAATAGTTCATTCCTTTTTATTGTTGAGTAGTATTCCATTGGGTGAATACAAATCCTTTATCAGATAGATGATTTAAAAATATTTTCTCCCAGTCTGTGGTTTGTCTGTTCAGTCTCTTGGAAGTATCTTTTTAAGACAAGTTGTTTTTTTAAGTTGATTTATTTATTTTTGAGAGAGAGACACGTGCACACGTGAAAGAGACAGAGAGGGAGAGAACAGGAGTAGGGGAGGGGCAGAGAGAGGGAGAGAGAAAATCCCAAGCAGGCTCTACACTGTCAGTGCAGAGCTGGACATGGGGCTCAATCATACGAATAGTGAGATCATGACCTGAGCAGAAATCAAGAGTTGTATGCTTAACTGAGTGAGCCATCTAGGTGCCTCCTAAGAGAAGTATTAAATTTTGTTAAAATCCAATTTGTTAATTTTTTTTCTTTAATGGATCATGCCTTTAGTGTTACACATAAGAAATCTGTGTCTAATCTTCAGCTTTTAACTCCTATTATTTTTTTTGGTAAGGATTTTATGGTTTTAGGTTTACATTATGATTAAGTTTGAGTTAATTTTAATATGTGATGTAACATATGGGTCAAAGTATTTTTTTGGCCTATAACTATCCAATTGTTCCCGGATAGTTGACTTTTTCCACGTAATTGCTTTCATACCTTTGTTGAAAATCAATTGTCTGTATACTTTTAGGTCTAATCTGTTTTGTTGATCTATTTGTTTATCTTGATGCTAATACTACACTGTCTTGATTACTATTGCTTTATAGTAAGTGTTGAAGTCACAGAGAGTGTTAGACTTTAACCTCTGTTTTTATCAAATTTAATTTGGCTATTCTGGTTCTTTCATGTTTCTATTTAAATATTTAGAATCAGATTGTAAACTTCACAAAAAATTTGCTGGGGATTGCATTTAATCTATAGATCAATTTCAGGAGAATAAACACTGAACAATATTGGTTATTTGGTTCAATGAACCCATAAACTTGGTATATGTCTCCATTTGTTTAGTCTTCAAAACTTTCTTTCATCAGTATTTTGTAATTTTCAGTTTTCAAGTCTTTTTTTAACATTGAAAATTTTAGTATTTTACTTAAAAATTTTCAGATATCCATGGGGCGCCTGGGTGGCTCAATCGGTTGAGTGTCCGACTCTTGGTTTCAGTTCAGGTCTTGATCCCAGGGTCATAGGATGACCCTGCATCAGGCTCTGTGTTGAATATGGAGGCTGTTTGAGATTCTTTCTCTCTCTCTCTTTCTCTCTCTGCCCCCTCCCCCACTTGCACTTTCTCTCTCTAAAATTAAAAAAAGAAAAAAAAAAAAAGGCGTTTTTCAAATACCCAGGTACTCTTTCTTTGGATGTGTTCTGAAATTGGTGAAGTCAAAAGTGATATTAGTACATTCCTAAGGTTTTTTTCTCTTCTCCCCTTGACTGGATCTGTTCAAAGTATGGGTTATAAGTTTTAGTAGAAATCAAAGCTTGCAATTAATACCCAAATAGGTGTAATTACCAGCAAAATTGGAAAACAGCCAACTTTTATTACTTTTCTAGGCATGTGGATCTTATGCTGAGAAATTCACCAATATTAAGAAAAAAAAGAGAAATTCACCAATATTAGACAGGTGGCACTTAACTGAGTATTGCTCAGAATTAAAAAAGTCCTTTTAGGGGTGCCTTGGTGGCTCAGTTGGTTAAGCTTCTGACTTCGGCTCAGGTCATATCTCACGGTTCTTGAGTTTGAGCCCTGTGTCAGGCTCTGTGCTGACAGCTCAGAGCCTGGAGCCTGCTTCAGATTCAGTGTCTCCCTCTCTCTCTGCCCCTCCCCTGCTCACACTCTGTCTTAAAAATGAATAAATGTTAAAAAAAAATTTTTTTTTAAATCCTTTTATTTTAAAACTAAACTGTGTTTTTAAAAGATGAGACGCTCAGAAGGAAATACGGAGGTATAAATACAGGAGAGATATACTCAATGGAGCTTATAGATACAGATAATTTTTCTAATTATTTTCATTTTAAATGGAAATTTTTGATGTCAAATATATACAGATTGTTTTTCATAAAAATTTCCCAAAAAAACCTTTAAATTCAACAGTTTGAAAAAAATGTTCTTTCATGTTTATCAGAACACAAAAAATTTGTTGCCATATACATAATGCATATGATCATATGTATTTACAGAGATTGCTTGATTGTGAATTGTGTGTAAATGGCCCATCTTATATTTTTGCATGCACAGTTTTCAATATTTTATCCTAGTGGATGTAACAGTGTAATTTTATAGTTTTTGTTCAGTGAACTCAAAGTCAAGAAACCATTCCAACAATTATTTACAATTTGATAACTGATTATGAGGTCATGTTACCATGCAGAAGTGAATGATGACATTCTGCATTTTTGGTATTAAACTTAATTTTATAAGTCTGAGGTTTAAATTGGTGTTTATAAAAGTAGCCAAAGCCTAAATGCAATGACAGAAGAGGTTTCTACCATAGAGCCTTTGTAGTTTTGTAAGGGACACAGGAACAAAAAGAATTACGTGATTTTTTAATCTGTGTTTAGGTCTTGTACATCTTTTGTCAGATTTATTTTTAAATATTTTATATTTTTTTATATTATTATAATTTTTATTTCACATTCCAAAGTTGTTTGTTGCTAGTATATAGAAATACAATTGACTTTTGTGTATTGATCATGTATTCTGTGACATCTTTAAACTTATTTATTAGTTCTAATACTTTTATTGTATATTCCTAGAATTTCTACATAGATAATCATGTCATCAGTTAAGAAAGAGTTCTACTTCTTCCTTTCCAATATGGATGCCTATTATTTCTTTTACTTGCCTTATTGCACTGGCTCTTCCATTACAGTGTTGAATAGAAGTGGTGAGAGCAGATATTATTGCCTTGTTTTTGATCTTAGAGATAAAGTATTTAGCTTTTCATCATATTAGCTGTAGATTTTTCAAGGTTGATGAAATTCCTCTCTATGATTGGTGAGAATTTTATCAGGGATGAATGTTAGATTTGCTAAATACTTTTTTTACATTTATTGAAATGATTGTGTGGTTTTTGACCTTTAGCCTATTAATATAACTTACTGTGTTCCTGGAGAAAACTCCATGTTTTTGAATAATTTTACTATAACTACAGAGTTGTGTAACATTGCCATAACTTAATTTTAGAACATTTTCATCCTTCCAAAAATAAATTTTGAACCGTTAACTCCTCATTTTCTACCCCCTGCTCCCTCTCCAAACCCTAGGTAACCACTAATCCACTTGCTGTCTGTATGGATTTCCTTATTCTGGACCTTTCATATTAATAGGATCTTGCAAAACATGTTTTTTTGTGATTGACTTCTTTCCCTTAGCATAATGTTTTTGAGGTTCGTCCTTGCTGAACATGAATATTCCATTGCAGGATATATACTGCATTTTGTTCATCCATTTGCCAGTTGATAGTAACTTGGGTTGTTTTTACTTTTTGGGTATTATGAATAATGCAGCTATGAATATTTGTGTACAAATTTTTATGTAGACATTTGTTTTTATTTCTCTTGGGTAAATTTCTAGGAGGGGAATGGATGGCTCTACGGTAACTTTGTGTTAACGCTTTTAGGAACTGCTAAACTATTTGCACTATTTTTCATTCCTATCAACAATATATGAGGATTTCAATTTCTTCACATCCTAACCAGCACTTATTAATGTCTGTCTTTTTGATTATAACCTTGCTAAACCATGTGAAGTATCTTATTGTGGATTTGTTTAATAAAAAAAATTAATTCCATATAGTTGACAAAATTGTTATATATTAATTTTGAGTGTGCAGTATAATGATTCAACAATCCCATGTATTACTCAATGGTCATCAAGATAAATGTTCTCATTGTGTTGTTTTTTTAAATTTTTTTTAATGTTTTTTTAAATTTATTTTTGAGACAGAGCATGAGCAGGGGAGGGGCAGAGAGAGGGGGAGACACAGAATCTGAATCGGGCTCCAGGCTCTGAGCTGTCAGCACAGAGCCCGACGTGGGGCTTGACCTCACGGAGTGTGAGATCATGACCTGAGCTGAAGTCAGACGCTAAACCGACTGAGCCAGGCAGGCGCCCCTCTGATTGTGGTTTTGATTTGCATATCTGTAATGACTAACAGTGTTGGCATCTTTTCATGTGCCTATTGGCCATTTATTTATCTTTGGAGAAATGTCTACTGTTTGCCCATTTTAAAATTATGTTATTTGTGTTTTTATTATTGAGTTGTGAGAGTTCTTTTTATATTCTGGATAAAAATCTCATATCAGACAGATGATGTGCAAATATGTTCTTCCAATCTGTGGATTTTCTTTTCACTTTCTTGATGGTGGCTTTTGAAGCACAAAAGTTTTTAATTTTGATGGGGACTAATTTACCCTCTTCTCTTCTATGGCTGTGCTTTTGTTGTTGTATCAAAGAAATCTTTGCCTAACTTAAGATCATGTGTTTTCTTCTAAGAGTTTTATGCATTTAGGTCTGTGATCTACTTTGAGTTAATTTTTGTGTATGGTGTGAGATAATGGTCCAGATTCATTCTTTTGCATATAGATATCTAGTCATCCCAGCACCATTTGTTGAAAAGACTGTTCTGTATCCACTGAATTGTTTGGCCCTTTGTCAAAAATCAATTGACCATAAATGTTTAGAGTTTATTTCTGGACTCTTAATTCTGTTATATTTCTCTAGATATCCATCCTATGTCAGTATCATACTATTTTGATTACTGTAGCTTTGTAGTAGGTTTTGAAAATAGAAATGTGACTCCATGTTTCTTTTGATTAGTATTAGCATGGTATATTTTTTCCCATATTCTTACTTTTGATCTACTTGTATCTTTGTATTTAAAGTCATTGTCTTCTACATGCACCCCAATGTTTATAACAGCATTATCAACAATAGCCAAACTATGGAAAGAGCCCAAATGTCCATCAACTGATGTGGTATATACATACACAGTTGAATATTACTCAGCTATCAAAAAGAATGGAATCTTGCCATTTGCAGTGATGTGGATGGAGCTAGAGTGTATCATGCTAAGTGAAATAAGAAAAATACCATATGATTTCACTCATGTGGAATTTAAGAAACAAAACAGATGAACATGGGGGAAGGGATAAAAAAGAGAGGGAAGCAAACCATGAGACTCTTTACTATAGAGAACAAACTGAGGGTTGTTGGAGGGAGGTGGGCAAGGGATGGGCTAAATGGGTGATGGGTATTAAGGAGGGCACTTCTTGTGATGAACACTGGGTGTTATTTGTAAGTGATGAATCACTAAATTCTACACCTGAAACCATTTTTACCATATGTGTTAACTAGAATTTAAAATAATAACTTGAAATAAAAATAAACAGACCAATAAATAAAGTCAGTGTCTTCTAGGCAACATATACTTGGATTCTACTTTTTTATACCCTCTGACAATCTTTGCCTTTCAATTGGAGTGTTTAGATCACTTATATTTAATGTGATTGTTGACATGGTTGAGTTTTATTTGTTTTCTATTTTTCTTATCTCTTCTTTGTTACTGTTTTTCCCTCTTTTTCTGCCTTCTTTTGGATTAGTTGAATTTTTTCATGATTCCATTTTTCTCCTTTGCTCATTATAAGCTGTAACTCCTTGTTTTATTTTGGTTGTTGCTTTAAGGTTTATAGATCATAACTTTTACTTCTCATACTCTACCCTTATGTGATGTTATACCACTTTATGTATTATATAAAGCAGTATGCTTCTAAAGACTTACATTCATAGGATATACCATTTCTGGTCTTTATTCATATTTCTATCTGGTATTATTTTCCTTCTGCTTGAAAGACTACTTTTAACATCTCTTACAGTGGTCTGCTGGTGGTATATTCTTTGAACTTTTAAAAGTTCCATGTGAAGGCTCTTAGGGAGATTACATTGCATATTTCTCTCCTACCTTCTAGGTGGCTATTGGCAACTTTTGGCATTCCTTGGTTGGAGACACATCATTTTAATCTCTGCCTCTGTTTTCATATAGCATGTAATATTTAGTTATTACCCACAATGAAAGTTTAATCCATAAGCATTAGTTAAACATTATCAGTACTTAATTGTAGACTGAAATTTTTTGAAAATGCAAAGAGATGAAAGTAATAATATGAAGTAAGAAAAAGCAAACTGTTACTTAAAGTATTCAACTCAAAACTTTTCTTCTCTCTGTAGCTGTTGGAAAAATTAGAGGAAAGCCTTTTCCATTACTCTTATTTTTTGAAGCCATCTTTAGCACAAGTCATGCATGCAGACGTCCTATTGATGCAGAACTGACCCTGGAAGGAATCCAATGTGGATTATCTGAAAAACGTTTAGATTTAGTTATCAATTGGGTCACTCAGGAAAGGTAAGCAAAATTAAGCTTTTGACTTAATTTTGATATATGGTTAATGAGGTTGTTCTCAAGATTTCAGTAGTTTTTTATCAGCACATTATCCTGAACAATTAATCCTTCAGAGACGATTTACTAAGCATTCATGGAGTAACGGGGCCTAGTCACATAAACCCAGATCAGGAGTTGAGTAATAGTGGTTCATGGGATGATTCATGACCCATGAATTCATCAGTCAGGACAGAAAAGGATTTATCAGTATCATGCTACTGAGAGGGATAAGGCAGGAACTTGGATCCAGAGAGGTTATGGTTACATGTGAAGGATATACCTAGGAGAAAACTTATAAGCAGGATGGATGTGGACCCATGTTGCATTTAGAATATATAAACCAGGGGCGCCTGGGTGGCTCAGTCCATTAAGCATCCAACTCTTTTGATCTTGGCTCAGGTCATGACATCCTGGTTCATGGGATTGATCCTGGTGCCGGGCTCCATGGTGAGTGTGGAGCCTACTTGAGATTCTCTCTCTCTTTCTCTCTGCCCCTCCCCATCCCTCTCTTTGTCTCTCTCTCTTTCAAAATACATAAATAAACATTAAAAAAAAATAAAAAAGAACATATACACCAGCAAGGACAGGCAGGAAATGCTTCTTGGAGTTGGATTTCAGTATAGGTAGGCAGATTTGTACTAGAGCTCCCTTAGGTTGGATTCCTATAACCAAAGCCTCAGACATGATTGATAGAAGGCGGGCTTCTCAAGAAAACCCTATAAGGGAGTGAGTGAAGCAAAATAGGAAAGAGTGTGTGTATGTTCGGGAAGACAAGAAAGGTTGTGATCTTAGGCAAGTTCTAATCTTGGTCTTATTTGTAGAGGGATGGCTCTGGAGCATAAACCACACCAAAGAGCTGCCCCCTTTGAGGCAAGGGATCAGTCTTTTGTACCTCTCTGTTAGTCTCTATTAGGGCTATAGGCTGCCTGGATGGGGCATAACTTCCTAGGCCTGGTGGCTCCCATCAGCAAAGGGCAATTTGCTACAGAAGGGAGGGACATGTGAGCCACTGACAGCCAGCACCCAGAGGGGAAGGGTATGCTGTCTCAGTAATGAGGATCCGGGCAGAACATTAAATCAGCATCTACTGTAGTCAACCATTTGCACAACACAAATGTATTTTCTTCTCACTTTAATTTCATTCCATCTAGGCACAACTTCTCTAGGATTCTGTGGTTAAAATTCTGGGGGAAACTTAGAAGGGTTAGTAGAATGAACTATATATAGCCCTTGTCATGACAATTGACCATAGGGCTATAATTTGGTTTTTACACCTTTATGGAGATAGAATTTATGTACAATAATCTCTACATATTTAAAGTGTACAATATGATGAGTTTTTAGAAAGCATTATGGGGATATAACTGACATTATAAATTGCACGTATTGGGGCGCCTGGGTGGCGCAGTCGGTTAAGCGTCCGACTTCAGCCAGGTCACGATCTCACGGTCCGTGAGTTCGAGCCCCGCGTCGGGCTCTGGGCTGATGGCTCAGAGCCTGGAGCCTGTTTCTGATTCTGTGTCTCCCTCTCTCTCTGCCCCTCCCCCATTCATGCTCTGTCTCTCTCTGTCCCAAAAATAAATAAACGTTGAAAAAAAAAATTAAAAAAAAAATAAATTGCACGTATTTATAGTGTACAGTTTGACAAGTTTTGACCTATGTATACACCCATGAAATCATCCCCACAGTCAAGATAATCAACCTCATTCCAACCCCCACCACCATTTCCAGGTAACCACTGATCTGCTTTCTGTCACCTTAGATGAGGTTTCATTTTCTAGAATTTTATATAAATGGAATTATACATTATGTATTCCTTTTTTCTTGCTCTGCCTCTTTTGCTTTAATTATTTTGAGGTTCATCCACATTAATTATTACTCATCTTTCTCCTCTCTCATCCATTTTATATTCTTCGCATTCTATTGGTCTTAATGGCTTGTCTGGTAGAATGATTGTGGTTTCCATGCCTTTATCAAACCATGATTATTGATTTACCCACTAATAGTTTTTAACTGGCCCGGGACTACCCAGCGATATCCCAGTAGATCATCTACCACCTGTAACAAGCAACCATATACTTAAGATTCCAGAGTAGGCACTTAAGATTCCAAAAGTGCCTACTGAGTCCTGCTAAAGTTGGAGTGTTTATCCAGGGAACACCAATGACCTTAGAATTAGAACAGCTCATCATGAACTGGATTCTGACAGAAACACCAAGTCATGAGGTCAGGTGGGCTCAGAGAGTCCATCTAAAATCAGGTACAGTGAAGATAGTGCTCAAGCAGATCCAGAGTACACAAGTTAGCTTCAGGAATAGGTGGCCCAGAACTCATGTCAACTACCACCAACTGACCAACACAACTTCCACAGCTCACACCTAAAGCCTCATGCGGGGGTGGGGGTGACCTAAGACCAGCAGGCAAGGAAGAAAAAAACCCAAACTTGGTTCATGAATGGTTCAGGTTGTGTCCAGGTGATGCCAGCTTGTCGCTCCATCTTTTGAAGACATAGTAACATCCTTCAGGATGGAATGTACACTTTAAACTAGTGATGATTGTATGGTATATCTCCAGTACGTAGAATACTTGGGTCTGGGAGATAAAAGAGTGGCTCTGCTCAGCTGATTCCCCAGTAACCCACTTGGTGGAATCAAGGTTCTCTAGAGAAACAATCAATAGGATATATATACATACACACACCCATGAAAAAATTGGCTCCTGTGAATATGGAGGCTGATAAGTCTTAAGATCCATAGTCAGCAAGCTAGAGACCCAAGAGAACTGCCAATGGTGTAAGTTTCAGGCTGCTCAAGACCCAAGAAGAGCCAATGTTTCTTTTTGAGTCCAAAGGTAGGAAAAGACTGATGTCCCAGCTAAGCGATCAGGCAGGAGGAGTTCTGCTTTATATGAAAGAGGGTCAGCCTTTTTTGTACCCTCCAGGCCATCAACTGATGGGATGAGAGCTATCCACATTCACAGCAATCTGCTTTATTCAGTCTACTGATTCAAATGTTACTCTCTTTCAAATACATCCTCACGGACTCACAGAGAATAATACATGACTAAATATCTGGGCACTCTATGAGCCAGTCAGGATGACACATAAAATTCTCATGCCTGCAAATTTAGGTTCTGTGAGTCATAGTCAACTTTGGTTATCATGAAAAGGTAAGATTGTTGTTACATAACAAGGCAGAGAGGAATATGTTTGGCCCTCAGGTTCCCTATTCCCTTAAAGAGAGCGTGATAATTGGATTTGAGTGCATAACATTTACTGATAGACTACTCCTCGAGAAATATTATAAGTGAAGAAGTGAGATGGGATAGGGAAGCGGAAAGAACCAAGCTACGATGTGAACTCAGGTTAAAATCTAGTATTAGCTAGTATTACAGGGGGAGGACTATGGAACATAAATCCTGCCAGACTTGCTTCTTTGTGAATTATGGTACTGACCTTTTGTATTCCTTACTAATCAGTTGTCAGCTCTACACTACTGGGGGGTTGAAAGATAAGCATAATTTTCTGGGCAAGGTAGCTAGTCAGCTTAGGGCAACAGCTGGGGAAGGCTGTTCTCTGGGGAAGGCAACAGCTGTGAGCTGTTAGGAGTCAGCTGGGGAAGAGTCACTGGTCCAGTAAAGGGGACTAAAACAGTGTCTGCCTATTTATGAAGATCAAGCTACTTTTGCTGGGTCTGGTGGACATGGGTTGGGCTGTGAGTATTGGAAGGTAGAGTGAGGAAACTCCTGTCATCTGTCTGGTAGCCACAGCCTGCTTATTTTTCAGTCTAAAGACTATGCTTGCTTGGTTCTGGATACATACAGATGTAGGCTACATATTAGAGAGTAGTTACAGTTCTCATATTTAAGAAGTGTATCATAAGGGAGATGGAAGGACTAATGTAAGCACTCCCTAAATAACAAATTCATGATTTCTAAATGTCCCAGACTTAAAAATGGCAAGTTTGCATACTAGTGCCTACTGCCACCCATTCCAAATTCACCATTTCCCCTGCATGACACTGGGGAGTCCTAAACTGTCCTAGATTGATGGCACTATTGTTTACCAGTGTAAAGTATCTTTTTCCCACCCCCTCTTGTTATGGCCTTCACTTACTGTTCACGTAATAGTTAATTCTGTTTTAGGAAACTTCTTCGTACATATACCCCTCTTTTTACCCTTTGCCTCTTTCTTTTTCTACCTGGTCCCACCTTCTACGCCCTCTACAGAAAGTACTTGTCAGGGAGCACTGGAAATGGTTCAGACATGAGAACACGATTAGAAAGTGCATGTTGATTAACACCTGTTGTCTGGTGCAGAGACACATAAGACAAGATTAATTTCCCCACATATACTGATTGTTCTTGGCCAGTTCTACCTCTTAATTATAAGAATTTAAATTCTTCTGCAATTCCTTGACTGCATAAATTTGGAAAATACCACCACTCTTAAGGATCCTGAAATGATATAACAGAATACTGAAGGTAATTCACATTCTTTATTCTTAGCCTCTTTCCTCTGGTCTCTGACTCCAGTGACCTGGCCTCTACCATATGGCTACCTTAAAAAGTTCTACAGTTCTTTCCTTGAAGCCCTGCACAGAGCCAGCCATAAAACAGCCTGGATTATAGACTAATCTTGGCTCTCTTCGTCAATCTTACCTGGGGAAAGTCTAATCACTTGACTCAGAAAGCCTAAACTTAAGAAATGTTTTGTTGGCATTGGCTCTCTAAATTGCAGATATTGCTCCCAGAAGAGGAAAATATCCTCTGAAATATTAACTTGACAAACCCAATCCTACAAAATAACAGTAAATAAATATGATGCATAGATTTAGTGATTGTATATTACCTTTATTTTGGCTTAAAAAAATCTACAATCTGGGGTGCCTGGGTGGCTCAGTCAGTTGAATGTCTGACTTTGGCTCAGGTCATGATCTCAAGGTTTGTGGGTTCAAGCCCCACTTTGGGCTCTGTGCTGACAGCTCAGAGCCTGGAGTCTGCTTGCTTTGGATTTTGTGTCTCCCACTCTCTCTCTGCCCTTCCCCAACTTGTGTCTTCTCTCTCTCTATTTAAAATAAATAAACATTAAAAAAAAATCTATAATCTGGTTTATAATCAAATATACCTTAGTTTACTAATGGAGTTAAGCACATTTTTAAAAATTTATTTACTAGTCATATATATTCTCCAGAGCCAGTCTAGAGATCCACTTTCAGAAGTCTTCTTAGAATTGGAAGTAGGGATGGGAGAGCCAAGAAGGAGACTTTGAGAAAACAGAAAGAGGGATGTAATGAGGTGATTAGGGGCAAAACAGGGACAGAGGTTCCCAGGCTCATTTTCCAGTTGGGTACAGGGTGCTTGACTACCTCCCTTTCCCCAGGGCTAGAATCTCTGTTTTTTTTCCCCCTTTTTCCTTCAGGGCCAGTTCCATTCTTTTGGGGCTTGACCCTCTTCCTCCCTTTCTTTTTTTTTAACCTTTATTTATTTTTGAGACAGAGAGAGACAAAGCATGAACGGGGGAGGGTCAGAGAGAGGGAGACACAAAATCCGAAACAGGCTCCAGGCTCCGAGCTGTCAGCACAGAGCCCAACGCGGGGCTCGAACTCACGGACTGCGAGATGACGACCTGAGCTGAAGTATGACGCCCAACCGACTGAGCCACCCAGGCGCCCCCTCTTCCTCCCTTTCAATATATATATATATTTTAAATCATACATCATCCTTTTGGAAAATGACAAACCAGGACAAATCAACCTTAGTCCTCAGCTCTGGCCTTTTCTCAGGTGGAACCACATCATGTTAGTGATGACCTCTTACAAAAATAAAATAATGGTATTAATAAGAGAAAGAAATACTATAATACTGGTATTATCATCTTGCTCTGGTTATACAGTCACTAAAATGTCTGAAATAATTCCTTGTTCAGCCTTCAGAAACATCGTGGCTATAGCTACCAAAACCCATGTTTTGGTACTAAAATGTAAAAGTTAGGTAAATTGCTTATTAAATAATTGATTTATACTTAGAAGCTGCCTTTTGATTTCAGACACACTTCTCTTTGGCCGCCCCAATAAACATGGCAGGCTTTATTTACTGAATTTTCACTAAACACATTTTATAGGGATTTCAGGATTTTATTTGAATGTTACTGGTATTTTGATACATGTGTACAGATATCAATATTATGTGATTACTGTTACTCTGTAGCTATTAATTTAAAATAAAACTAAAGCACAATGTCCGTACAACCAGTGATTGGAAGTGATATCTTAAATTATACCCAAATGTGTTTTGGCCTATGCTGATTGTTTCTAGGTGGAGTTAATGTGCAGATGGTTCACTCCAGTTGTGTTTGAAGATGTGCATTAAAATGTGATGACAAGAGAAATTGGGACATCTTAAATCCTTTTTTACCCCTATTGTTTTTTATAATTCTATAACAATTTAGAAAATAACACTGATGTCACACGTTTCTTGCAAACACTTGCAAGATCTATCACTAATTTTGAGCTAAAATTTGTTGTCACTATCTTTAACCAACATTTAATGAATTCTTACATTCTGCAGGGTTTAAAATCTGTATAACTGCTGAGAACATTGAGATCCTCAATTATAAAATAATTTTTATTTACCTTGTTACTTTGAATTCCACCAGTCTTTTTTAGGAGAGTTTTAACCATGTTTGTAGATTTTTGAAAAAACTTGAGGTCAGTTTCACCAAAATGTCTCCTCCCCCTCCCCCACCACAAAAGAATATGTGATTATTTTTGTTTTTGTTAAATCTTGGATATGTTTAATTTCTCCTACATCAATTGTCTATTAACTTGTAATTCTTACAGACCATGGAAAATCCAATTCTACTGTGCTGAATTTTAAAATATTTTACTCTCATCCACTCACCATGAGCTCTCTAAAGTATACCTATTGATCTGCTTGCTCTAGGCTCACATTTTCTGAGGAGGCTGGGGATGTCATTTATGATTATGGGGAGCAGGATACCTATAACAAGGCCAAGTGCCTGGCTTTAGCTCAGATGATCTACACTGAATGTGGCCTGCACAAGAAAGCTCTTCTTTGCCTATGTAAACAGGGTCAGATTCATGGGGCCATGGAATACATACAACAGTTCAAGGACTTTACTTCCGGTAAGTGAAAAAGCCTACTTATTGGTATGTATTCGAATTCTAGACTTTACTGGTAAGATCACACATGAGAGTAGGCAATATTTTGGATTTACATTTTAAAGTCTATTTTACATATACTAATAAGTAGATTTTTATAATTTTTGGTGAAAACAGTTAAGCTAGAACTGATTGACTTTCATGCTAGACATTCAAATACATTAGTATTTCTTCACTACATAAACGTTTAGTAAACTGTGGAATCCTGAAACATACAATTTTTGTCTGTCTGTTTTTAACAAAAACCTAGCTTTTATTGAGAACCTACTATGTGCCAGAGTCTAGATGTGTTCTCACACCCTTCTAGCCAGTCCTCACAGTAGTCCCATCAGGTAGTCATTGCTAGGCCTGTCGTACAAGTGGAGATGCTGAGATCCACAGAGGGAACACTGAGCTGAGGGAGTGAAGTTCACCAAGTCCTTGGTGCTAATGGAGGGTCCTGGGTAGCTGTGGCCAGCCCAGTCAGAGTGGTCTTTGCCTTAAGGTCAGTTGTTGCTGAGATCTTGTTTTTCTCCCATGTCTGGCAGAGGCATGAGGGACAGCCTCAGGCTGTCCTGAGGGGACGACCTGGCAGCCTTCAAGAAGGTAGATGTCTGGGTGTCTCTGCTTCTCTCCCTCTGAAGTACACAGTTTATTTTGCAGATATTTTAGACCATGCTACTTAGAGAATTTTTTTAAATAGCTGCACTTATTTGTTACATATGAGTGTATGTAAACTATGATATGAGCATTAAAAACGAAGAACTAGTAAAATAATGTTCATTTCAAAATTTTGAAACACTTAGGTTACAAGTAGGCAGTGATCTGAGAGCATTGTCAACCTTAGGGTAACTATAGTTGAATGAGCTGATCTCTTATGAATCTAGTTCAGCACTAACCTACGTGTACAGGCAGCCTGACCTCTCCCATATCCCAGGTCTATGTCTGAATTCTTATTTGCAGGCTCTGTACCCCAATTCTAAGAAGTTGCAAATAAGACAAACTACAGCACTTCTAGGTCATATTTTTCCGGGAAAGAGGATCATTTATGGCAGTTGAATCTGATTATTTTCAAACAATAAATTTAATTTTACTTAGCATCTATTTTTTAAAGTTATGAATTTCTTCATTTGTTATATTAACAGCACACTTGATATTATAGTTTGGCTTTTTACTTGCATTATCTTACTTAATACTTACATTAACTATAAAGTAGGTTTTGTTATTATCCCTATTTTATAGATTTAAAAAAAAACTTTCCACAGAGAGGCTAACTAAGGCTCAAAGAGGTAAGTAATTTGCCTACGTACACACCGCAACAGGATAGAATCTGGCATAGTAGGTACTACTCAATATTTATTGAATGAATTAGCTATTTTATTTTTATTATCTAAGTATACAGGTTCAGTTTCTGTTTTAAGTATTATTTTTGCACAGGTAAGAAATGATTACTCTAGAATTTATATTGACTGAAATGTGAATGAAGTTTCTGTTTTGCTTGCAAAATTTGCCTTGCATAAATGCATAGAAATGTGATTGACTTATTATTGTATTGTTCTGCTCCTGCATTATAATCTAAAATAATTATATGTTATCATAATAATTTAAGAAGTAATGACACTCTCTATAATTAGAACCTTGATATTTATCCTCAGAATTTATTTAGCACATCATAAGATGAAAATAATAACTTGAGAAAAAGTAGAAACCCTGAAAAATTGCTTTGCTTATTTTACTTTTTAATGGGAAACAACTACAGCTTTCCATGGTATCATGGGGCCTTGAGGGAAAGACTTAATTTTATACTTTCAGAAAAGAATGTTCTCAGATTTAGACTATGAGTTATACATTTACAAATTAAAAAACAAAAACCAAAACCACAACAAAACAAAAACAAAAATTATAAGAAAGTTTTGTTCCAAAAGCATAAATCTGACTAAAGGAGCATCTGTTTTAGAAATAAAAATTATTCCACCCCCCAATAATATTTAGAATGAAACCTGAAATGATTTGTTTGTTCACCTTCCCCATTATCATTAAACAAGTGAATATACTTAAGTGGAAATTGGGTTATTCTAGATGTGAAGCTCTCAAACTTTTTGGTCTCAGGTTTCTTTTATTTACTTATTTATTTATTATGTTTATTTATTTTTGAAAGAGAGAGAGAGTGAGTGAGTGAGGAGGGGAAGGACAGCAAAAGGGAGACAATAGGATTCGAAGTGGGCTCTGGCACTGAGAGCAGAAAGCCTGGTGAGGGGTTTGAACTCACAAACTGTGAGATCATGACCTGAACTGAAGTTGGATGTTTAAGCAACGGAGCCACCCATGCACCCCTCTTTTACACTTTTAAAAAAGCACTGAACATCCCAAAGAGCTTATATTTACATAGGTTATATCTGTTGATATTTATCCTATTAGAAATTAAAACAAAATTTTAAAATATTTATTCATTTAAAGAAAACAACAATAAACCCATCACATGTTATCATAATAAAATATTTTTTATAAGAAATAACTTTTCCTTGGGGCACCTGGGTGGTGCAGTCGGTTAAGTGTCTGACTCTTTTTTTTTTTTAATTTTTTGTTAACGTTTATTTATTTTTGAGACAGAGAGAGACAGAGCATGAACGGGGGAGGGTCAGAGAGAGAGGGAGACACCGAATCTGAAACAGGCTCCAGGCTCTGAGCCGTCAGCACAGAGCCTGATGCGGGGCTTGAACTCATGGACCACGAGATCATGACCTGAGCCGAAGTCGGAGGCTTAACCGACTGAGCCACCCAGGTTCCCCTAAGCGTCTGACTCTTGATTGCAGTTCAAGTCATCATGTCAAGGTTTCATGAGCTTGAGCCCCGCATCCAGCTCTGTGCTGACAGTGGGGAGCCTGCTTGGGATCCTCTCTCTCTCCCCCTCTCTCTGTCCCTCCCACACATGCACGCGCTCTCTCTCCAAAATAAATAAAGATACTTTAAAAAACAAAAAAACTTCCCAAAACCAAGGAATTTCATGCAAAGAGTTGCATTTTCTACATTTTTGCAAATCCCTACAATATCTGGATTACTATAAGATAGCTGGCTTCCTATATCTGCTCCTGTATTCAGTCTGTTGTAAGACTACATGTCATATAGTCTTTGGAAAACACCACTATATATTTGTGAGAGAATGGGAATGAAAAAGGCAAATAACAGCTTAGTATTTTTATGAACATAGTTTTGACTTTATAAACCCTAGACCATATTTTGAGAACCACTGTTCTAGATGTTCGTGAGTTAAACATCTATCACACTTGGCATATCGGCCTTTATAATCATATTAAAACAATATCCATGAAAGGGGAACCCTCTTGCAATGTTGGTGGGAATGCAAATGGCTGCAGCCACTTTGGAGAACAGTATGGAGATTTCTCAAAAAGTTAAAAATAGGGACATCTGGCTCAGTCGATTAAGCGTCAACTCTTGGTTTCAGCTCAGGTCATGATCTCACAGTTCGTGAGTTCAAGCCCTGCATTGGGCTCTGCACTGACAGCACAAAACCTGCATGGTATTCTCTCTCTCCCTCTCTCCCTGCCCATCCCCTGCTCACACACACATACTGTCTCTCTCTCAAAATAAATTAATAAACTTAAAAAAAAAAAGTTAAAAATAGAACTACCCTATGATCTAGCGATTGCACTGCTAGGTATTTACCCAAAGGATAAAAAAAATACAAATTTGAAGGGATATATGCACCCTGGTGTTTATTGTAGCATTGTCAACAATAGCCAAGCTATGGAGAGAACCCAAATGTCCAGACTGATGATGAATGGATAAAGATGTGATATATATACACAATGGAATATTAGTCATCCAAAAGAATGAAATCTTGTCATTTGCAATGACATGGATAGAGCTAAAATGTATTATGCTAAAGAAATAAGTCAGTCAGAGAAAGACAAATACCATATGATTTCACTCATATGTGGAATTTAAGAAACAAAACAGATGAACATATGGGAGGGAGAGAAACCATGAGAGACTTAATGATAGAGAACAAACTGAAGGGTGATGGCGGGGGGGGGGATGAGCTAGATGGGTGATGGGTACTAGGGAGAGCACTTGTTAGAATGAGCACTGGGTGTTGTATGCAAATGATGAATCACTGAATTCTATTCCTGAAACCAATATTTCACTGTATGTTAGCTAAGTAGAATGTAAATAAAAATTTGGAGAAAAACCCCAAGAACATCCATGAGATAAAAATTGATTAATAACCTGTCAAACTAAGAAATGACGAAATGGATTCCAAACCATGGTAAGCAGAGGAGAAAGGTCATAGGATTTGAATTTGTGTTCCTTTGAACTAGTCAGAGGCCATATCTTGTACATACTTAAGTAAATAGTGGTTAATTAATCAATTCAAGGAGAGGGAAATTTGAATGCCTGATTGAATGAAACAGCAAAATGTGTGAGTTACAAAATGCTGGTGGCTGGGGGATGCTATATAAATAGCTTCACCTTAGTGAAGGCCAGTTTGAGTGACCCAAATCATAAACTTCTTCTACCTCTTCTCTAGGGAAATTAAAAAAAAATTGTTTGACTTTATTGATACAGAATTATATTCTGCTATTCCTTGCTTATTCTTTTATCATTTATCTCTCTTTTATTTATGTGTGTATGTGCATGTGTGTGTATATGTACATACATACAGTGCATCACACATATACTTACTGTTTTGGAGGAGCATCGCTAAAGATTGGAAGGTCATGGACTTGGGTGGATTAGATGAACTTCGTTCTCCTTTATATCATGTGTATAATTCTGGGAAAATTAACTTCTCTAAGCCTGTTTCCTCACTTTTAATGTGAGAATAATAATATCTCACTTATACTGAATATTAAATGCAGTGATTTGATATATGTAAGTTCCTAGTACAGTAAATATGTGTTTAATAAACACTAGATTATCTTATATTATCAGTCAAAAAATTGCAAATTATGTTTATGGTAGTTCTTAAAAGGCTTTCAGGAATTATTCTGAATACTACCTCTGTTGTGACCAAAGAATAATATTAAAAACAAAAATTTTTTTTTAATGCTTAATGTTAATTTTTGAGAGAGAGAGGGACAGACAGAGTGTGGGCTGGGGAGGAGGGGCAGAGTGAGAAGGACACACAGAATCCAAAGCAAGCTCCAGGCTCTGAGCTGTCAGCACAGAGCCCCATGCAGGGCTTGCACCCATGAGCCATGAGATCATGACCTCAGACAAAGTCAGATGCTTAACCCACTGAGTCATCCAGGCACCCTGAGAAAGTAAATTTTTTACTTGAAAAACTTTAGTTAACACAAAGTTTATAAATTTAAGAATGTAAATCATGGGGGTGCCTGAGTGGCTCAGTCGGTTAAGCGTCCGACTTCACCTCAGGTCATGATCTCACGGTTTGTGAGTTCGAGCCCCGCATGGGTCTCTGTGCTGACAACTCGGAGCCTGGAGCCTGCTTCAGATTCTGTGTCTCCCCCTCGCTCTCTGCCCCTCCCCCACTCACACTCTGTCTCTCCCTCAAGAATAAACAAACATTAAAAAAATTTTTTTTAAATGTAAATCATAATTGTAGTATCAACTCAGTAGTTATCTAATATATTAAACCATATGAAATATCCTTTTTTGTAGTAAAGCATGGTCAAATGTAGGCAACTTCATATGGCTCAGCTACTAGCTACTTGAACAGGCTAATGGCTTCTTAAAGTCTTCATTTTTGAGTTTATAAAATAATATTTTTAGGAAAAAAATTACTGAGCCCCTTTTTCTGTGCAAGGCACAGGAAGAAAGAAATTATACTCACTAGAAGTTGGCCCAAATATGAACAACAAGATATAGATAATATTGTTAGATGGAACCTTAGAAATTGGATATGCTAACACTTTCTTTTTTTAATGTTCATTTATTTTTGAGAGAGAGAGAGCAGGGAAGGGGCAGAGAAAGAGGGGGACAGGATCTGAAGTGGGTTCTGAGCTAACAGCAGAGAGCCCGATGTGGGGCTCGAGCTCAAAAACCGTGAGATCATGACCCGAGCTAAAGTCCAATACTTAACCAACTGAGCCACCCAGGAGCCCTAATGCTAGCACTTTTAAGATGCATAAACTGGGATCCAAAAGAATAAGGGACTGATGGAATTGTGGTTAGATCAGATTTCCTGATTGCCAATCTAATTATTTCTATTCTACCACAGTTCTTTGATAATTTGTTTTCCTGGTAGTCCTTGCTATAAGTAGTTTTCTTTCATTTTTTGCTATGCTGAGCATGATTTTTTTTCTTCTTGATTGGAGATAGTAGTGTTGAGTTCACTGAGGGCTTTGGAAGGATTGGAAAAAGAAATGTTGATTGGCAGGTATAGATATTAGCTGGTCCCAGTTTGTAGGTGATGTATCATATTAGGATGTTGAGACATAGTTTTTGAATTTTGCTTTCAGATGACCTGATGGACCTAATCAAGTTATGTCCTCACACTGAATTAATTCAGTGTCTCACTAGAGAATGGAACGGGAAACCACCATCTTTATCTTTTGGTCTTGCTATACTTCATCTGTTCTCTGTAGATATGAAAAAAGTTGGCATTAAGCTACTTCAAGAGATAAGTAAAGGTGGGAAAGGTAAGTATAGTAAAATGTTGTTGTAGAAGAAAAAGTATTGGGTTATTTAGGGAAAGGTTCAAGATTATTATGTTTGAGTTAACTCATTCTTCCTAAGAATTCCTTCTTGGCAGGAATTGACTTTAGGAGTTTATAAATGTAAAGACTACCATGTCAATAATAGTCTGTTAACAATAGTATTTTTTTAAATTTTCTAATGTTTATTTATTTTTGAGAGAGAGAGAGACAGAGTGTGAGTGGGGAAGGGGTAGAGAGAGAGGGAGACACAGAATCTGAAACAGGCTCCAGGCTCTGTGCTGTCAGCATAGAGCCCGATGTGGGGCTAGAACTCATGAACTGCAAGATCATGACCTGAGCCAAAGTAGGACGCCCAATCAACTGAGCCACCCAGGTGCCCCAATAGTATTTATTTCTTGAGGGAATTACAAAGAAGAGAGAATCTTTGTGAAGATTTAGGGGAACATTTTAATAATTATATTAGCTAACGCTACTCTAAAAACTTTACGTATATTAATAAATATTTATATTTAATAACTTTTTATATATTTTAAGTGTTATTTAGACATAATCTTTTTTAAAAAAGTATTTATTTTGAGAGAGAGAGACTGTAAGCAGGGGAGGAGAGAGAATCCCAAGCAGGCTCTGTGCTCTTAGTGCAGAGCCCAACAAGGGGCTTGAACTCACAAACCATGAGATCATGACCTAAGCCAAAATTAAGCACTGGACACTTAACCTACTGAGCCACCCAGGTGCCCTTGGAAATAATCTTTCTATATTTTAATCTTAAACTAAATATATATGTACGTGTCATTTACATATGATATTTACTCTGAACATAACTCTGTAGTAGGGTCAAGAATTACTAATGAAATCTCATTTTTTCTTTCCTTTCTCTAATATAGGAACTTGAGCAGACAATTTGATTTTAAATTACTACATGGGGTTTAAGAATGAATAGCAGATTACATTAAAACATATTTGGGAAGATAATTTTGAAATTATAGATATCAACTAAATTATTTCATTTGACAGAGTTATGGTAGAAATAAAATAATAGTGATGACAATGTTTTAAAAAGATCTTTCATTAAGTATCATAAGTAATGCAGGTAATATATAAGAAATGAGTTCCCTAAATAAATATATTCCAAGGGGGTCACTGTAATTGATTTTCAAAAGCAAATAATCTCCTTAGTTTTATTTAATAAACTCATTCTTTTATATCCTTAGAAAAAATATTTGTTACAGAAGCCCCATCATTAAGAGGTCTCTCTCTATCAGAGATAAGATGGAGGGCTTACCGAAGAGGTTTTTAAGCACTTGGGTCAGCACTACTAGGGAATTTATAAAAGAATTTGAAGGATAATGAAAACTAGACCTGTAAGCCCTCAATTACATGATAGTGTCTAATGGTACCTTGTAGACTCTGAATAAGGCTGAGCCCTCATTCTTCATTTTCTAAGCTCCCTTCCTTGTAACTTTCAATATCTGCTAGCCTTACCAAGAAGGAGATGAGTAAAGGTGTGGGAATGTGAGACATGGTAGAGGGTTGAAGTGAGGCATGAAAAGGTTCATGAAAAAGCAGAAGAAACTAACACTTGATTACTTACCATGAGTTGGATGAAGCGCTCCACATTAAACTTATAGGAATCAGGTTTAATAGTAAGTGAGTTGAAATGATACCCCTTTCTATTTTTGAAGAATTGCTAAATATGGATTTTCAAATAAGAATAGGTGACATACTATAATATTATAATTTTTTTCCTTAGGTATAGTCGAACATCTTATGATAAATGATCCATTTTGCTCATTAGAAAACTGGCAAGAAGTAGCAAATATATGTTTACAGAATGGCTTTGACAAATTATCTCGTGACATCATGTCCATTCTTCGATCTCAGGCTGGAGTTACAGAAATTTCTCAAGAAGATGATACAGTCAACTTAATGGAACATGTTTTTTGGTAGTGCTACATCTTAACCAGTTGAGGGAGCTTGTATAACATTTTATGTGTGTTGGTTGGACAAACTGATTTTGGCATAACTAACTTATAAATAAATCCAAAGTGTGAAGCTCTCAGAAATCATGCTGCTCTTATTATGTTGACATTTAGATTTGTCCTTGAAACATTTAGACTATTGCTTTCTTTTTCTCCATATGGTCATTTCTTACATTGAATCTTGATAAAATCCAAGAATGTAACTCAGTTTAGGTATATACTTCTATCTAAGGGCATAAGCTAACATCTAGATATATTCTTTTCTGGTGATCACATTTCATAGTAAGAACTGGGGAAGGTGTGGGTAATATCCTGTCAGACTAATTTCCCAAATATTGAATGCTATGAGCCTGATTTTTAACAAGAAAGACAGGATGTCATTTTGAGGTTGGACTCACTGGTGAAATCCTAAGTATAGTAATTTTGTGCTACTGACTTAAAGATGTGCCCCATGCTTTGGTCAATGTAAATGGCAAATGTTAGGCTTCTACTCTAAAAGTTGGGAATCCTAGCATGTTCTTACCTGGAGAGAAGACCAGCCAAATTTTGCATGGATGTAGACCTGAGATACCTGTAGGTATGGAACATATGTCATAGGTGGTTTGGGATGATTTCAAATGTCCGAGTAAGTATTTGTTGGAATACTCAGGTTGTGTCATGGACGGGTAGGATATTCAACATATTTAGTGATCCACATGGCACGGACACCATGAGTCAAACAGAACAGATCCCCAGCTAATCTTAACAGCTTTCAGCCCTTATGCCATGGCAGAGCATAGCAGCTAAATGTCAGCCTTGATCATGGAACTTGATAACAGTGAGCTGCTATGAGATGGAGTAGGAGTAAAAAGTCAAGCTTCTTTCCCCTCCTAAATTTAAATTGAATGTCTGTTTTTTTACTCTATAGTTGAAAGAATATGAACTTGGAATCAGGTAGCCTCGTATTTAAATTCTGGTCTTACCTCTTCATCTTTGTGAAATACGGGCGGTAATACTCCTCCAAAGGTTTGTCATGAAGGTTAGTGATATGTGTGTATAATAGAAGTATATAACATAATAGAGGAATTTTGCAGAAGGTAACTGTTATTTCTATGTAATAGGTCCCAGAAATATATGTTCCTCTGCTTGGCTTAAACTTACTAAATCCCACATATCTATCTGTCTTTATTTGTATAATTATCCTTCTTTGGTGTATTTGATAATACTGACATACCTTATTCCTAAAGTAAGTGATCTGTCTATGCTAGGGTTTCTTGGCTTATCTTATAAATCCAGAGGGTACTGGCTGCGTTCTCAGTTTTTCCATATATTGCTAAACACAGTAAAGCATAATTATAATTCAGTTTTCTAAAACAATATTTTTTAAAGTAATATATGTACATAATTTAAAAAGCAACGTATTACTAAAAGGCTTATAGTAACTAATAATATTTTGATTTCTGGCCATCACATTAGCTGTGATTTTTTGAAAAGAAAAGATGAAGGATGGAAAAAAGAAAGGGAAAGAGAAAAGGCATTTCAGCAGCATTGATTTTTTATTTTTAAAAAAATTTTGAATTTTGTTTATTTTTAGCAGCATTGATTTTTAATATACCAATGAAACCTTTTTTCTTTGAGACTTGTATAATTGATAGAAAGCTATTGTGTGTCCATTGACAGAACTTAGGGGAAAAAAGTATCCCTGAAAGCCAGGAGGATGAAGTAGGAACTTAAATGTGGAAAATGCTTGGAACAGCAGCTGTTGTTGTTACTGTTAATTTTGCTTTTATTTTAAAATGTTTTTCCTCCACTCATTATTGTTCCTCCTCTGTTTAGCATTACCTGCGGCAGTTTTCCCAAGGAATGCGAAACTTGTCAAGTGAATATAAATCAAAATGTCTAGAGATGGAGTTGGGAGGAAGAGCAAGAGAGAATATGAAGTCAAGTGGGGGGAGGAGGAGGAGTGGAGCTGTGAGCTACAAAAGGTTTGGAAGCAGTCGGAGCCTCCTGTAGGCTGCACTGAAGAGATGCATAACATGAGCCTCTTGGCATAGGACCCTGCATGCGAGACCAGCTCTACCACAGTCTGGCTTTGTGTCCTTTTCTTCATAAGTTTATTTTGACTAGATAATTCCTCTTATCATTTATAACTCAAAAATTCTGTAATTCTGCAAAGGTACAAATGATTCCCCAGTACTTTTTGACCTTTTGCGTAAATTTGAAATACCAAGCAAGATAGATTCAACATCAGAATCAATAACACATACTGAATACCTACTTTGTGTATGGTCTCTGCTATCAAAATTACAGCTTCAGTGAAGACACAGCTGTATCTTTTACTTTATTTTACTTTTAAAAATAATAATTCCTCAGTATCATCTAATATACACTCCATATTCAAATTTCACCAACTGCTTAAAAATACCTTTTTATAGTTGATTTGTTCTAATTAGGATCTAAACAAGGTTTGTGTGTTCTGTTTGGTTATTGTATCTCCGTATCTAGAGTATGCCTCCCCCCTCACCTTTTTTTCTCTCTCTATTGACTCGTTGGACTGGGTGGTTGTTACCAAAAATGTTCCACCTGCTAGATTTGTCTGACTGCTATTTGATCTTAAGGTATTACTTTATTTGTTATTCTATTTCCCATCTTTCCTATAAATGGAAGTTAGTTCTAAAGACTTGAGGAAGATGGTGGCGTAGGAGGACGCTGGGCTCACCACGTCCTGCTGATCACTTAGATTCCACCCACACCTGCCTAAATAACCCAGAAAACCGCCAGAAGACTAGCAGAACAGATTCTCCGGAGCCAAGTGCAGACGAGAGGCCCACGGAAGAGGGTAGGAAGGGCAGAGAGGCAGTGCGCGCTACATGGACTGGCGGGAGGGAGCCCGGGCGGAGGGGCAGCCCGCCGGCCAAGCAGAGCCCCCGAGTCTGGCTTGCAAAAGCGGAGGGGCTGGATGGACTGTGTTCGGACAGCAAGCGGGACTTAACATCTGGAAGGTTATAAGTTAACAGCTCTGCTCAGAGAGCGGGAGGGCTGGAGGACAACGGGAGGGAGAGTTGTTGAGCCCCGGAGGACAGAGCTCAGCTTGGCAGGGAACAAAGGCGCTTGCCAGCGCCATCTCCCTTGCCCATCCCCTAGCCAAAATCCCAAAGGGAACCAGTTCCTGTCAGGGAACTTGCTTGCACCACGCAAACACCCAGTGCTGTGCTTCTGCGGATCCATCCCTCCAGCGGCAGGTCTGACTCCGTCCTGGTGTCGCAGGGCCCCTCCCGAAGCAGATCACCAAAGGAAAAGCGAGGTGAGCCTGCCCTTCCCGCCCCTGTACACCTTGCCGATCCACCCCAGCTAATACACCAGATCCCCAGCACCACAAGCCTGGCAGTGTACAAGTAGCCCACATGGGCCACCCCACCCCACCCCACAGTGAATCCCGCCCCTAGGAGAGGGGAAGAGAAGGTACACACCAGTCTGACTGTGGCTCCAGCGGTGGGCTGGGGGCAGACATTAGTTCTGACTGTGGCCCCACCCACCAATGCAAGTTATTGAAGACAGCACAGGGGAAGTGCCCTGCAGTTCCACACCACTCCAGGGGCTATCCGAAATGATGAAACGGAAGAATTCCCCTCAAAAGAAACTCCAGGAAATAGCGACAGCTAACGAACTGATCGAAAACGATTTGAACAATATAACAGAAAGTGAATTTAGAATAATAGTCATAAAATTAATCACTGGGCTTGAAAACAGTATAGAGGACAGCAGAGAATCTATTGCTACAGAGATCAAGGGACTAAGGTACAGCCAGGAGGAGCTAAAAAATGCTATTAATGAGCTGCAAAATAAAATGGAGGCGACTACAGCTCGGATTGAAGAGGAAGAGGAGGGAATAGGTGAACTAGAAGATAAAATTATGGAAAAAGAAGAAGCTGACAAAAAGATTAAAAAATCCAGGAGTATGAGGGGAAAATTAGAGAACTAAGTGATGCACTACAGAGAAATAATCTACGCATAATTCGTATTCCAGAGGAGGAAGAGAGAGGGAAAGGTGCTGAAGGTGTACTTGAAGAAATAATAGTTGAGAACTTCCCTGATCTGGGGAAGGAAAAAGGCATTGAAATCCAAGAGGCACAGATAACTCCCTTCAGATGTAACTTGAATCAATCTTCTGCACGACATATAGTGAAACTGGCAAAATGCAAGGATAAAAAAAATTCTGAAAGCAGCTAGGGATAAACGTGCTGTAACGTATAAAGGGAGACTGATAAGACTCGTGACTGATCTCTCTACTGAAACTTGGCAGGCCAGAAAGGAATGGCAGGAAATCTTCAATGTGATGAACAGAAAAAATATACAGCCAAGAATCCTTTATCCAGCAAATCTGTCATTTAGAATAAAAGGAAAGATAAAGGTCTTCCCAAACAAACAAAAACTGGAGGAATTCATCACCACTAAACCAGCCCTACAAGAGATCCTAAGGGGGATCCTGTGAGACAAAGTACCAGAGACATTGCTACAAGCATGGAACCTACAGACATCACAATGACTCTAAACCCATATTTTTCTATAATAACACTGAATGTAAATGGACTAAATGCACCATCCAAAGGACATAGGGTATCAGAATGGACAAAAAAAAACACAAGACCTATCTATTTGCTGTCTACAAGAGACTCATTTTAGACCTGCAGACGCCTTCAGATTGAAAGTGAGGGGATGGAGAACTATTTATCATGCTACTGGAAGTCAAAGGCAAGCTGGAGTAGCCATACTTATATCAGACAAACTAGACTTTAAATTAAAGCCTGTAACAAGAGATGAAGAAGGGCATTATGTAATAATTACAGGGTGTATCCATCAAGAAGAGCTAACAATTATAAACATATATGCGCCGAATACGGGAGCCCCCAAATATATAAAACAATTACAAACACAAGCAACCTTACTGATAAGATTACTTCTTACTGATAAGAAGTAATTGCAGGGGACTTTAATACTTCACTTACAACAATGGATAGATCATCTAGACACATGGTCAATAAAAAAACAAGGGCCCTGAATGATACATTGGATCAGATGGACTTGACAGATATACTTAGAACTCTGCATCCCAAAGCAACAGAATATACTTTCTTCTCGAGTGCACATGAAACATTCTCCAAGATAGATCACATACTGGGTCACAAAACAGTCCTTCATAAGTATACAAGAATTGAGATCATACCATGCATACTTTCAGACCACAATGCTATGAAGCTTGAAAT